CTCTTTCAAAAGTGCACTTGTATCTGATTTGACTTTATTTTTCATCGTTTGCGAATTTGATTGATTGATCTTTTCATAAGGTCCTGTTGCAAGATGTTCGAGAGCTTTATTAACATAATCTATTCTATTCATGACTACTGTTGTGTTACCTTTGTCTGCTTTCGTGATTATGATCGTTTTGTCCTTTTTAAGCGAATGTAGGGCCTTGTATTCTTCTTTTGAGATGTTTGGTGTAAGGTGTTGTTGTTTAGTCAAGATATGGGAAGTCTTTTGACGTAATAAATGCGATTCTTTTTATGGTAGTGTTGCGATTATTGGCTCTAAAATTGGAGCAACTTCAAGGGTGCTAAGTGGTTTTCTATGTAAATTGAAATTTAATCCTTTCTCCAGTCCTTTCTCCTTATTATTTGTTTGTTTCTTTATATTCGAATTAACTAGGAAGTTCTCTTGTCAAATCCTCTTATCCTTATCTAAAATTTTCATTCGGTTATTTTTATTCTGAAATTATTTGTACTCCAGTTTCTTTTTTCTCAATAAGAAACGTAATACTGACGGAAACAGGAAAAACAGTCCAATTTTTTTTCCAATTCAGCAAGTTCTATGTGAAAATATCATTTTATCGTGATAAGTTTTAAGCAAATGATAACTGTTATTTTTTTGTTTTTTTAAAAAGAGAGAATAGAAAGGGATAAAAATACTACACACATTTTTTTCTTACTTTCTCAACAATTAGTTGTCTATAATTTGACAGTTAAACAATCCCTTCATAAAGTAATTTATATTTAAACTAAAGAATATGATAAATTGCAATTAATATGATGTTTAATGAAATCAACTATTTCATTGTATAGAAGAGTTAATGTAATTATGAACAAAATTAATTATATTATACCTGTCATATTATTGAGAGAAAAAAATGGATAGAAATATTTTTACTAATTAGGTTTTCAATGATAACCTTTCTAGCTTTGGTTATTTTTTGCACGAAAAACTGATAGGTTCTGGGTTCGAATCTCGCGAGTCGGGATCGTGGATGTGCATTGCTGAGGAGTCTCATGATAGGACGAAACGGTCATCCAATGCTTCCAGGTTTTCTATGGCCGTCTAGCCTCAATCGACTAATGATTTCAACTATAAAATTACTAAAATCTCCACAAAAGCCCCGTCTGATAAAAATTAAATATATCATACCTGTCATTTTACTGAGAAGAAAAAAAGGATAGAAATATTTTTCAATTATAACCTCTCTAGATTTGGTTATTTCTTACAAGTACAGGTTAGAAAGTATGTTCTAATTTTCATAGTTGAAGTCATGAGTCAATTGAAGCTAGACCACCATTGAAAACCTGGAAGCACTGAACGATGGTTTCATCCTACTGCGGGACTCTTCGGCAGTGAGCATCCACGATCCCACCTCGCGGGATTCGAACCCAAGACCTTCTAATTTACTAGTTACACTGATAACTAAGGAAAGAACAACTTGGCACAAAATACTTTGTATATATTATCTATATATTTAATGAGATGAATGGATTCAATAATTCAATATTTTGAAAAAAAACTAATTCAGTTTACTAGAATAACTTGAAAGTTATAGAGGGAAATTTATAAGTAACACGATTTATCAATCATTTTATCGAAAATTTCCTAAAGTTAACTTTACACCTTCACTTAGAAACTAAATATTTACAAGAAAGAGTTAATTGTTCAGTTGTATTAAAGAAATATTGACATATAAATCGTGAGATACTTATTTCGATGTGAACTGTTAGAAAAATCAAGATGGATTTTTGAAATAGATTGTATGTGTTTCACAATACACTGTATAACACACTCTCGTTTTACCTTTACATATAGTTAGTAATGTCTCTTAATATAATGCCGTAGACATCTTTTCAGGTTTACTGATAAATACTAATACAGATAAGCTCCTGTGTAGAAATATCATAGTACGAAAATAAAAATCTACTATCAACTTTTAAGATCCTGTTAACTATATATGAATATATTTTGAGGTCAGATTTCTTGTATAAATTATCTTTATGCTTGTTGATTAAGAATGGATGTATCATTTCAAGATCACCACCCGTTCCTCTTAAGATTAATCTCCCTATAAATCTGTTACATTCTCTGTAGTTCAGAGTTACCCTTCATATAAAATTAAGTATTTAGAACTACGTGAAGTTGCTAGGAACTAACTTATATAATTACAACACATACCCCACAAACTATATGACTTTGGAACATCGTAAACTATACCAAGAATATGGTCAGTAAAAAAACACACATTTTACGGTGAACAAAACTTTTAACTGGCTGAATTCCTTATAACACTTAAAAAATCTTAACCAACCACGTGTTTTATATTGAAAAATTGCATTCATTCTTATCCGTTGGTTTCAAACATTTCTCAGAAGCAAAATCAATTAATAAAATCACCAAAGTCATTTATAAGCTGAGACGGATGGTAACTAGAAGTGAAACTCAGGACGCGCGTTCCGTCCTATTTGGGACAAGTCAGCCAGCTGTACCGGACTCCCAGATTTGATGTTCACTCCAGTACTAGGACCCAGTACTGTTCACCTCGAACGCCATCACGTTATCCACTTCGAGCTCCTGATTAAACGTCAAATCTAGGATGTCAGTATAGGTGGCTGACGAGTCTCAAATAGGACAAAATGCGCGCCCTGAATTTCAGTGTTATGCACCATCCAGATTTGCTTATTATGCTTGAGACTTAAGGCAATATTGAGGTAATTCGCACAGGATACACATACGCCCATAAGATACTGATAAATTGTAGATCTAAACACCACTAGGAAGACTCAGCCGATCAACACACTAAACTATTTGTTTTTTAAGTAATCTTAGTTCAGCAAACATTTTTTTTCAAAATAAAACTAAATCACAAAATTTTATCAAACTCTCGATTAAAACAAAACAATTTTTAATGTTATGCTTCAAGTAATTTCAACAGTTTTACGTCTCAATAAGTTTAGTTATTCATGACTAAATGAATAACAAAACAGTATTCTTTGATCATTCAACCTAATTTGTTAAAAAGGGAATATGACAACAGTATATGTATTATTTATTTAGAGCAAAACTCTCAAAATACAAGAGATTTTAATCAACTTATATCTTCAATTATATTTAGTAGTTCTATGAGTTCTTGATAAATGAATAGTTGATAAGATGTGGGAGAAAAATGAAACATTTGACAGTTGTTAGCTGCCTTACAAAATCATTACTCTCTCCTCATTTAGTCAGATGAATAAAAATTCTTGTTTTTATAAGCTGAATTCACTATATTTTGTAGTTCGCCTCATGTTATTTAGAAGCATATATCAACGGTAATATTTAATAGTTATTTTCGTTAATTGGCTGGAGTTAGAAATATGGACTTAAAAATTCTGGTTTACTGATTCATATATGTCATGCTTGTCGAAATATGTCACGTTTCTCGGTTTGATTCTTTGTGGTATAGTGAAGGCACAGAAAGGATGTTTGAAACACCTTAGTTTTCAATTTCTTCCTTGTTGCAGAGTTCATTTTAAATAGAACACTGCTCATTGTCTTTGAATAAATCCTAATGATCATGTTTTCTACAAATTATAATAATCGAACGTAGACAAAGGTATTGAAAATTATTTTAGATATTTCAACTACCAAGAAACAATGGTACTATACATAAGGGATCACGGAATTTTTAAAACAATATAAAATGTAACAGTCGAATTCATGAATCTATCTAAGCTAGATCACCATTTAAAACCTGGAAGTACTGGACAGCCGTTTCATTCTAGTATGGGACTCCACAATCCCTGATTCTGGTAATAATCATGTGCTCAATAGTGACTGGCTTCAAGATGGATTTCATGGAGCTCTAGTGATAAGCTGTGGTCAGTGTAGTTCAACCGTGTCTAGTGTGAGGCAGTTACTCATTGAATGTAACGGTGGACGGTCGCGCAATGTCGTGCATTGGTTGAAGTTAGACTTTAACACCGTTGGATACTGACCCGGTGATCCAAAGGTAAAGCGTTCACGGGCGAGACTGAAGGTCCTGGGTTCGATTCTTGTATGTGGGATCGTGAACGCGCACTGCTGAGGGGTTCTATACTAGAACGAAACGCCCATCCAGTGCTTCCAGGTTCTCAATGAATGTCTAGCTTAGATCAACACATGAATTCAACTGTCAGAATACTACAATTTACACAAACCCCCATTCTGGCAATATAGATTGTGGCAACTAGACTAGCCTGATAAATTGAGAAACTTTTGTAGAGTTTGAATTAAATTATTTAACGAACCATTACAATGATGTAAAGCATTTTTAGAGAGATATGAAAGATAAACAATTCCAATAACTTTATTTAAAATAAATTTAGTAAGAAAATATTCCGTTTCTTTATCGTTCGAATTATTTAATATAGTTTGGTTGTGTGTGTATTACAATCATACAGTACATAACTTGATCACACTAATAATTCTGACTTTATCAATCTTATCAACTATGGTTTTACATCAAGATTAGAATGAGTTTCTACAATTCTATTTTTGTTTGTATATTCAGAAAAAAATGGTTGAATGGTTCATTCAAATCTTTGATTAGGTACAGTTTACTAGGTTTTCTCTATGTTCAAAAAGGATGTTAATCAAAGGTACAAAAGCTAAATTGTATTTACGTGTTCCTTCCAAATAGACTTCTGCATGATAACAAAATAATGATATTACTTGCGATGTTCCAAGTTGTAAACATTTCACTCTTGGACGTTTCTTAACAAATTCAAAGATGCTCTTTCAAAAAGTCCATGGTATTTTTCTCATGTAAATGAACGTTTACTCAAGCGTTCGTGTAAAAACATTCGCCATGAGCGTTGAGCGTTTTGGATGAAACTGCATAATATTTTACCCGGCTATAAACAAGCATATTTTATATATCAGGTTTATTTCTAAATGTAGTGAAATATATATATATATATTTTTGTATTATTTTTTAGTCAGTCACGTGGAAATGGACTCCAAAGTAAGTCAAAATCAATTATTTTGATATGAATTACCGTTTGCTTTTAACATTTTATTCAAAATATTTCAATAAAACCAAGATTATTAACTGTGTAGTTTTGTTTTCAATGTGCCAATATTTAGTGAAGATACTGATTTCAGCAATTAGTGATACGTGGAAGTGATGACTGACAACATGAACCTACAAATTTCTATGAGTATAAATCAGTTTGTTTAAGTTCGGAATCCAAGGATGTCCGTCGAAATTTTCAATCCATTTTTTTAATGATACAGTAGCGTTTAGTTTGTTTATGCATTTTTAAATGTTAAATGGAACCTAGAATTTCTCCAAATAAAATACCCGCACACCAGTGCTATTTGGTTTGACAATACAACTTGAACAAACCATATTTAATTACATCCAAACTTGTTATCTTTATGTTTAAAAGAAATAGGAAGATTATCTTTCTCTACCGACTATTTAAAGCTAGTTATTTTGTAATTAGGTTTTCAAACAAGCTTTAAAAAATATAATTATTTTAACGCAAAAATCATCTGCAAATCATTTGAAGGATAAACGTTTTATGAAACAAGACCTAATGCTTAAATAAATAACAAATTAAAAAGCCCTAGTTAAAATGAATGTTACTCACCCTGAATATACACTAGTTCACGAGAACAATGACTTTCTTATTAAACCTCCAGACTAAATGTATCATAAAGTAGGTTTACATTAAAGTTTAAATTATTACTGATGAATTATGAATAAGATAAAAATACTCCTAGTTATACTGTGGTGTTGGCTACTTATTTTCAAAGAAATAAGTAGTATGAAATACCAATCGGAAGTAAAATATCTGAGAGCAGAAGGTTGAGAATATTGAAATGAAAAGAAGAGACAGAAAGTGAAAGCAAACAAGATAACAATGACAATGAAGGAATAATGAAGCTTGTAAGAGACAATTCAAAGATGTGCAAATGATCTTCACGTTTTACAAAATCAATGTACAATTGCGCAGTTGATATACAGCAAAATTGTAGCTAGTTTTGTAAACACGCAGTCTCAAAGATTTGCTGCATATAGTATTTAAACAAAATTTACATGAAATAGCTTAATAGTTGCTGAGCGGTACTTAGCTTGAACTAAATCATCAGAGAAAAAACGTACATGTATAGCTTTAATAGCGAGCGAATGGGATGAGCGAAATGTTTTTCAGTTTAGTATTCCATTGGTTAAGATACTTAGTAGCAGGGTCATCCTACTCTTAATCGATCAGTTTTTATCCCTTACATAGTAAAACTCCTTGCTCAGAACCTCTTTCAGATTTACTTCTACCGTTTTTTATGTGAAACATTCCTATTTATGTTCATTCGGTATTGTTTATTTGAATCTTCGAGTCCCAGAGCGAACATCAAATTTAGGATGCTGGTACATCCAGCTGACGAGTCCCAAATAAGATGTAACATGCGTCCTGAATTATTATGCTTGTGACATACGGCAATATCGAGGCATTCTTTACAGAATGTACATATGCTAATAATAGGCTGAACAATTTCAGTCCTAAACATTAATGAGAAGATTCAAACAAACAATGCCCAACGAATTTAGACTAAACCTTATTGTATAAGCAAGTGGCTATCAGGACTCAGTAGCTGAGTGGATAACGTGATGGCGTTTGAAGCGAACGGTACTGGGTTCGAGTCCTAGAGTTAACGCCAACTCGGATACTGGTGCTTCCAATTGACGAGTCCAAAGTAGGACGAAACATGCGTTGTGGACTCCACTGCTATCCACCTTCAATATTTGCTTGTACCCCTATTTATGCATTTTGGTTCCTTCATAATGTGATATTAATATCACTTTCGTTCTAGTCGCTTTAACACAACAATACGACCAGTTTGTAATATGCTTACACTTTTACTATAATCCCCACAGCTTATCATCTAATAGTGTTTTACATTTCATACTATATTTCATTTCAATTTTTCAATGATACATTTGGTGATTACCTTTGCTATCATCGAGAAGAAATTTATTGATTTAAAATAAGTAATTCAACCAAAAAGTTATATATATTCGCATTATATTTGGTATTGCTTTTGAATAAATAACTAGAAGAATTCAAGGAAAAACATTATCTGTTTATGCATTCCTTAATATTAAACAAATTTATTGGTCGTATTTCTATCTTACTACTGCAGTTATAGTTAGACGATAAAATAAAATTTGCGACATTTTTTTAGAAAATAAGAAAAGACCTCTTTGCTAGATAAAAAATATTATCGTGTGATGAGTAGAGGTAAAAAGCAAATGAATAAGTGAATACTTAGACTTCACATATTGTGTAGAACCATTCCTACCGGAGTTCTCCTATATCAAGTACATTTTGTATCGTTTTCAACGCCAATGATATTCATTGTTGACTGAAACCATTTGAGCTAATTTCGTTCATTTACACTGGAATTCTTTCACTAGACTGTGTTAAGTTCCACATAAATCACACGACGTTTTATAAGTAGTACCGAACAGTGACTTGAATACACAAACAAACAAATCGTAACAAAATGTTGTATGATCGAATATTGGAAAACTACTACTCATGTATGTCTAACTAATCAAGCTACTTTAGTTTGTAATACTTATGATTTCATTTTGACAAGATTGCCTAAGAAAATTATCTATACAATTAGTACATTTGGACTGAATAATGAAAGACTTAACTTGTATTAACAATAAAGTCAATGATATTATACTAAGTGATATGTTCTAACAACAGTGAATTAGGCATTTAACATATAGCAGCATACTGCAAATGTGATAAACACCATGTCACTGAATCCTAGAGAAAGACTCTAGAAACCAGTAAAATGATCTTATTCCATAATTATCATTATAACTTTATCAAACATCAGATTTCTTTTATAAAGATTGTTGACATGTACATCACTATTTGAGTCCTTAATTTAGTTTCGACAAAAATATTCTTGATAGTAAATGAAGTATTTACTTGAAAATTAATTTTAATATTTGGGGCTTAAGTAGTCCTGAAAATAGTGTTACGAATCGTCCATTTATTTGAGAGTAAATGAGGGCTCAAAATGTAGACTTCAGTGAAATAAAACAATACTTTTCATGGAAGTTTGTTTTCTAGATCATAAAGTTTTTACTTCAACTTATTAATAGTCACTTATAAGCAAAAAACATCTTAAACACTGTTATATTAGAGGGTGAGATATGAGTGTTTTTTCAAAGATTCACACATTAAGCTACACTGTTACATAGATACCGTTTTTTACCTACGTTTTGAAGACGGCCGAGAATTTCGGAGGCACTGAGAAACGCTTTAAGTCCAATTTCTACTGTATGTGCATGCGTTAAATTATCTCAATGAACAAACGTGACATTTTGAGTAGTTTTGGTTATGCATCCCCCCACATTTGAATTCATACAACAGAATTGCCAGAAGCAGCATTTTTAATGACAAATTCAAGTGATTATATTCATGAATGAATGAAAAATAAAAGTAATATAAAATTTCTTTAGCCCATGGCCTAAGCAAAATGATTAAATGTAAATGTATGAGTGAAATGTAAAACAACAAAGGTCGTAACGTTCCATTTCTACAGTAACCTAATTCGAAAACCACGTTTTTTCTTATTGAGTTTCAATGGGCAAGCTAGATGTCGAAACACAAATTATACCTAAAAGTAACGTTACATTTTGTAATTAAACTATTTTTTGCCGGCTTTCACAGAACGTGATTTGTGATACATACATGTGCATATATATATATATATATATATATATATATATATATATATATATATATATATATATGGTCTTTTAGTACATCAACGATAATTTCTAGTGATCATTATTTGCAGTAAAGTCATGTTTATTCATCTTATCGTTTTCACAGTTATTCACAATGAATGTCAGTGTTATTTCCATATATCATAATTTCGGTTCTAAATATTTTACCATTATTCCTGTACTTTAACTGTTATGTAATAGTAAACCAGTGGGTATTTTTCGTTACAGAGTTAAATCACATAGGAAACTGTAAAAACTACGGGATGGATAATGGTTATTTTGTCATATCATTAGATACTTAAGAGACTGTATTGTTAAGCTTCAAGTTTTCAGGCAATGATTCTGAGCACTAGTGGCTGGTAGATTTCAATTATGTCAAGGCTAAACTAAATACCCTGCAATCAAGTAATTAACTCGTTGTGTTGACAATTGAATAAAATTAAAATTCTAAACGATTGAATTCCAACGCAGTTTATTGGAAGTTGCATTCATCATAAAGCGTATTCGGTTGATTTTAAGGTGCATTATTAATATAAAAGGATGCATACTATAATGAAATAGCTGTGTAGAGCTTCTTTGATGTTTTATTGATTACCAGTGACGATAAAAATTATAAACAATTCCAACTAATCTCAATGGTACTCCAGATCCTAAAATGAAAATAATTTTATTCTATGATATTCACATTTCTATACAATTGTCCTATTCACTGAATATTCATATTCCATTATTTAATAATAGTTTTTGGTTAGTTAAAACATTTAAAAAAAGATCTATTGTTAACCACTTAGTTACTACAATTCTGTTTAGGAAAAGTGTTTACATTTTGTTTCACCAGAAATAAATGCGAAAATAAATCGCAAACGAAATGAGTTAATACAAATAATAAACACAGTAATTATGATTTGTCCATCTATTTAAAGCTACAATAATGATTAGACTTTCTAGCTTTAAATATGTAATAACTACCAAAGTGTGTGTGTGGGGGGAGGGTTAACTTCTTATTCATTATACATTCGGAGCTAATAATACAATTAACATAAAATGACAAAGTTCAGAAGTGTTGATTTTATCTACTATATATGTATATTAATTTTTCGTTCAGTTGATCTTTGAAATGATAAAATTAAATGTTGAATAAGGAAAAATGATATCAGTTAAAGTACCATTTAAAATCAGAGGTTTTAATCACTGTAAAAGAGAGGTAGTTAATAATTATAATAATGAATAACAAGATGTGTATTTAAATTCACTTGGTATTGTTTGTTTGAATCTTCCCATTAATGTTTAGGACTGCAACTGATCAGTCTCTTATTGGCACTTGTACATTCTGGGTGGATTGACTGGATACTGCCTTAATTCACAAGCATTATAAGCAAAGATGGATAGTGGCTTGCAGTGGAATTCAGGACGCGCGTTTCGTTTTATTTGGGACTTGTCAGCTGGATGTACATGCATCTCAGAATGAATTTAAACTTCACCCCATTGCACAAGCAAGTGGCTATCAGGACTCAATAACTAGGTGGATAACGCGATGGCGTTTGAAGCGAAAGGTACTGGGTTTGAGTCCCAGGGTGCAGGCACATCCAGCTGACGAGTCCCAGATAGGACGAAACGCGCGTTCTGAATTCCACTGCTAGCCACTATTCGTCATTGCTTAACATGTGTATTTGTTGGTAAGCATTTCTTGTAACCTTAAAAATAGGATACAATGATAACTATACAATGCTTTTTGATATTTTATGATATTTTAACTGATATCACTATATGAGAAAAAAAGATCTGGAATTTAAATTGAAAATTTTTAATAAATCTTTAATTTTAGTAATACTTATATCTTTATTGTATTTCATACTGACGTCATTGGGTGATAAATAAGGATGTTCAATGTATACAAAACTTTTTATTAGTTATCAATGGGAAATAAATTTGTAAATGTCAATCTGAATGTTACCATAGTGATTACATTATTCTATATTATATGTATTCATTATGTATGCAACATAAATATTTCATGATCTTAGTATATTCTTTTTTTTAAATTACTTCAAACTGAGTTCCAATCATCTTTTATATCCGAACGGTATAACTCTTTTGATAAGTTTTTCCTTGAAGGTTGCGTGATTTATGAACAGTGATTGTTTATTGATTGAAGATCTGGGTAACCGGATATTGTTCAATTTTCTATACTCTGTTCTATGCATTCAGCGTTATTGGAATATCATCACAACATTCATCTCTTAACACTAAAAGTGTCGTATTCAAGATTTTATATCTCAACATTACACGCAGTTATTGCTGGGTATTTAAAATAATATTTCTTCAAATTGTAGTCCAATATATATTTAGTTCTGTCAAGACAGTTTCAAGTCAGTTAGGTCAATTAACATTATAAGAGCAAGTAAATTTAATTGATTTCATGTGCTCTGCATCTTGAACATCCGAATTATTTCGTATCAATAAAATGTTGTTACCAAAATGTTTTACAAAAGTCAGTTTATATGAAGTATGGATCGATAAGATAAGGTTTATTTACTTATAAAGCAAAAGTCGTCAGTACTTTTCATGATCAAACGAATTAAATTAACACACATATCGAATGAATGGGAAAGATTTCGATATTATCAACCATAGGAAACACATGCCAACAGATAGTAATGACGACACAATGGTTAATGTATCATAATGATTGTTGCCCTAATAATGATGGACTTAGTTGAGATGTTTAATTTGATAGTTGTTCAAACGTCTATTTCCTAGTATCAGGTGCAGTGGCGTTAAATATAATATTATTATTCATGGAAATGCAGCCAGAAGTGAACTAGGAAAATTCTTGTTGTAATTAAAAGTTAGGTGAAGGGGCTAATGGAGAATCTGTATAAAAGCTATGAGTCAAAAACCAGGACTTTATAAAGGTGTCTCAGATAATAATATTATATCATCGAAATTGTTCAAGTTTGACCTAAATCGTTTCAGAGCATAAGTTGATATCGTTGCTTCTATATTGATATATAATTGTTTTACTCGATACCTAGTAAAGAAGCTGTAAATATGCTTATTAAATGACCGATTAAGAGGTTGAACGTAGTCAGCAAGAAAACCCTGAACATAGTTTTAGTCCTAGCTCGCACTCATCAACAATGTTTCCGAGTAATTTTTAAAAGAAGTGGTAATATATGTGAGATTCAAACTCAGTTTCACGCTCTCAGACGTCACTACTGACCTATCCAAGCCTCGGAGGACCTTCTTTAGGAATGAGGTATCTACAGTTTTACTAACAATTAGAAGTAACCAGCCACTGAGATCGTTCAGCTGAGATAAACAAACGTGATATTCGTCATTGGTCAGTGACCAATCAATCACAACTGATGAGCCTATATGTCTAATATATATATACGCTTTACATGATTACGAAGTACATTGATCTTGCTGTTGGGAAAGTTCAAATCATAACTACTAAGCCATATCAATTTTATTTCATTTTAATTACAATAATGTATGTGTGAATGCAACTTGTACACACGTAAATTTAAATGATCATTAGAATATGCACAGTTTTTGATGCGATATCACACAAACTCTTAAACTCGTGTTATGGTGCTAAATTTGCAGTCATATACCTAAATACGTTTAAAAGATAGACAAGCAACTAACGAGACCATAGATCAACAATGAAACAAAGGATTCATATTCTAAATAGAGAAAAACTTTTCTGTTATTCGGTGATTTATAGATGGCCAACATTTTCATTATAGTAATCACTGAATGAACAACTGATGGTTCACTAGTGAATCTGAACATCTAGCACTTGTTATTTTTTAACGGTCTCGATGAATGCGCACTCTAAAGCCTGCTCACAGTCTACCATAAATGTATGAAGAAATCAAAAGCAACGGCCGTTTACCACACGATTACGTTAATTGACTAAAGTTGAGAAACATTAACTAATAAAGGATTATAGGGAGAAATATGTGGTGGCTAGCAATGGAATTCAGGACTAATGTTTCGTTCTATTTGGTATACATCAGCTAGTTGTACTGACGCCCTAGATTTGATGTTCACTCCAGTACTAAAACCCAATAATGATCGCCTCAAACGCCATCACGTAATCCATATATCTATTAAATCCAGATAGTTACTAGCTTATGCACTGAGGTCAGGTTTGATTCACTTTTGTATTCGTTATTTTTATTTGTTGTTAGTCTTTTAATTGTTTCGTTGATTTTTCAATTAGGTGATTTAATTCCACGTCTTTAATTATCATTCCGATCTACAGTATCAATGACTGCTTTGTTTAAATTTCAATATAAAATGGTCAGTTATAATTCGAAGTAGAACCAGTATCTAAGTGGATAACCTGATGTCGTTTGAGGCGAACAGTATTTGGTTTGAGTCCCAGAGTGAACATCAAATCTGGATGCCATTACATCCAGCTGAAGAGTCTTAACTAGGACAAAGTATGTGTTCTGAATTCCAATGCTAGCCACCATCCATCTCTGCTTATAATGCTTGTAACGTAAGGTAATAATGAAGCAATTCACACGGAGTGCACATATTCTAATAATTGACTGTTCGGTTGCAGTCCTAAACATCAACGGGAAGATTCAAACAATCCATACAAAAATGAAGTAATCTAATGAAGTTTCATGTAATATCTTGCTCTTCCAGAAAGACTATAATGTCTTTGGTTTTAAGCAAAAATGAACTAAAATGAAGGATATTCATTCTTTAAATGAAATGTACCTTTTTCCCAAATAATGTTATTATTTGATTTATTAATCGATCACTCAATTTTTTCTAAAAAGTCTAATCGACATTATAGGGAAATGGTTATGAGTATTAGATTATATAAACAAATATTATTTCCAATGTGACTTATAATCTTATGTTATTAGTGCATAACTTGATAAACATGTGAATGCCTAGTTTTAGATACATTTAACAAGCAGTAGGTAGAGAAAAGCTACTGCTTTATTTGTGTACCATTACAAAGTTTTCTAGAGCAGTTTCTTTATGGTACATATGACTATGAAATGAAAACCCATTGGTTTGCAATAAAATAAACTTAAAGTAATTTTTATTATGGATTAACTTTAGCTTAAGAATCACTAAAAGCAAAGGCTCACAGAACAACTGTCACATTCTATTCTAGAACTCTTCAACAGTGTGTACCTACAACTCCATCAAAGACGATAGTCAAATATTTCGTAGCGAGTATTCTACGATGGACCTCTCTTTCCAGTTTCATTTGGTTCTGAATATATCCAGACAACTGTACTATGATTTTATTATTTAACAGTAACTTTGCCATCACGAGATCTGATGATTCTGACTTGATCTCTGACAAATTTATCAGTGGACACTACTAAGGAATCTCATGATAGAAAAAACAATTGTTAAGTTCTTATCAGTTTTCCATTGTTCATCGGACACAATTAAATTGAATTACTCACCATAATTTCCTCAAATTAGTGAAACAAATATAAAAAAACTGGAATTATAAAATATACTGTACACAAGGTGTTCTGTAAATTGATAGAGTAACCGAAATTCGTGCTTTGCGGATTATATAGTGCCCTAAAGTTAAGGAGTTTATTTATTGTAAAACTTCATGCATCCCTAGAATATTATCTCAATGTTCAAGTTTTAGTCCGCATTCACACTGTATGGTAACTGTTTAATGATATTCTGAGTTTTTTGTGTTATTGGTTAGCGTAAACAATACATTTGAAAAATATATTAATATTTCTCTTTTTTTAGACTCCATCAATGTCACTGAAAATTTGAAATATCCTTCAGAAAACGTAGACAGTAGTTCACTCTCACTCAAACATAGACCAAAAGATAGTTTCCAATCACTAGATGAAAGTTCATCATTTAAATTGAAAAGCCATCAGTTTTTTCATCGATTTCTGAAATATTCATCAAAATTTGGGGGGATTACAAAATCTGAAAATAATTCACCATCATTATTATCATCCTCAACACCACCGATTCACCGAAATCCACAACCACTTAAAAACGCTTATGCATCTAGATATTGTGCTTGGAATCCTGTAAGTGATTGGTTAATTTTCGTTGATAATTAATGCAACCTAAACGTTATATAATTATAATGATAATTAATTTTCGTAATATTCCGGTTTCGTATGATATGTCTGTATTGAATAAAAACTGTAATTTACTGGTAAAATAAACGCTAATTACTTTAGTTGGTAATAATAAATAAAATCTTGTTTAGTCTAAATATTTCAGCATTGCATCGGATTGATCACAACCTAAACTTCCAGATGATAGTAATAGTAGTTTGAGTTCTAGTAGACACCTTTCTTCATCGAATATGAAATATAATCTTAGATAATGGACTTCATCTACCACTTAACTTTGATTCATGACTTCCTTTCAACCTATAATCAACATACTAACGTCAAATGTAAAATTATTTTATAAATATTTTCAAAAATGTAACAAACCACTCTTTACAAGTAATGATTATTTTAATCTTTCGTCCATATAAAGGAAGAATGTGTTCATAGCCTCAATTCATACTTTTGAAAGTATCAACAAGTTTACTACTACATTTGATGAACAACATCATAGATGAAGAAAAATATTACGTGACAATGTGAACTTATAATCAAAGTTTATTGATACTAAAATCAGGTTGTTAAACAAAGTTTTATGAATATCAGAAGGTTCTCGGTTCGAATCTCGCGAGGCGGGATCGTGGATGCGCACTGCTGAGGAGTTTCACAATAGGACGAACCGGCCGTCCAGTGTTTCCAGGTTTTCCATGGTGATCTAACTTCAGTTGACTCATGATCTCAACTATTGAAAGTTTTATGAGTTTAAATCCAATTTAATCTTGTTGAATATTAATATTCACCATATATTTAAACGACTTAAATAGGGTCTTCATTATAACTATCAAAATATGATTATTTATTAACAATGAAATATTGTTTCTTTTGATCAAGTATGTACACATCATAGATTACATAACATACAAACACTGCCTCTCAGACCTGCTAAATAGAGGAAGAAGACTAGATTCATTCGGGAAAATATATAACCTCACAGGCAACCCGGAAAAATGAACGAACAGGCACACAGCTCATACAATACAATACAAAAATGTTTTTGAAAAACGTGACAAAATAGCCTCACAAAAGCGAAAACAAACCAATGACATTTAGGGTCTTTCAAGGTGGAAACACAAACTGATAGTAAAAATGAGTGCTTTTGGTTCGAAATGAGAAATTCAAATTTCCATAATAAAATTATCAAGTGATTTCTGGAGAACTATCATTCCAATACATACATAGTAGAATATGTGATAATACAAACACTTTCCTCTCAAATAAGATGAATAGTATACATCAAGATATATTTGAAAAATAGTTAGTCATGTTCGTAGCTGAAAGTGAATTCTATTTATTTATTTAGTCAGTTAGTTAACTAGTAAAAATTCAAGCACAGTTTATTCATTAAAGTAGGTTATCACTTTCAAAATAACCGACACCAAATAAATGAAATTAGTTATATATGGAAATTTCCATTTATATAACGGTTGACTATTAATACACAATGTGAATATATATACATATTGTCTATTAGATCTCATTAAATTAAATGCAATCTTTTAGCTAATAACATACAAACTGTGTTATTCTGACCTTAATTTCCTCTTGAAATGACTAGTTACTACAAATGTTTCTCTTCTTAAACATTTTAACTAACCCATAGTATATGCTTTTATTTCAAAGAAAAGTTTGTGTTTCACTAAAATATATGATTAGCATTTAATGATTAATACTAATTTTGTTTAACTCTGTGTTCCATTAGTTGTATAAAATTCAGTGGAACACAAACTAGGACAAAAAAGATATTTAAAGTAACCAGGTATTTATTGATTATTAAGCCCACGTCACGGTGATGGTGAACCATTTTGTTGTTTGTACCGCAGTTTGTGAATTACCAGGCGGTAATATCTTAGACCGTAATGCTGGGTGAAACATGGTTTATTCCATCAATGAACATTAATTTCCTTAAGATAACAGACGCGTCTTGTTGATAAATATAAATTAGCAAAATAACCTACCTCTGTAATTTCCTGGCGATTATCTCCGATCACCTAACAATATTATCTGGTCAGTTTATTGATTAAATTCATTTCATAAATAATACTGATTTTCACTATACTGAACAATATTATTTTCTCCATTATTTGGAGTAGTTATTACTTTGCTTTTCAGCAATGTTTGCTATTAGTTAAATCACTTTAGATGGCATAACTGAGATGAAAACTCAACGCTCCTTTATGGAAAAAAGAAAGAAAACTTATAATTACGAGTTCAATCATTTGACCACAGTCTCCAACTGACCGACCAAACAACTAAGATCATCGTGCAAATAGTATAGATTTCATTTATGTAAACAATGAGACAATGTAAATGTCCACAAAACTAGTAATTTTAAATGATGTATTTCCTCAGTTATTTTTCAAAGTTCACTAAGATTATAGTTAAGTGATAAAAAATCAAGGAGTATCTTTGCATCTAAAGAAAAATCAGCCCAAACAGATATTTTTTAGAAACATTTTTTGTAATTTACGGAGGTGCATTCAGTAGTGTAATCTCGACATAAAGATATCTTCTGAATTCGGTAAAAATTCAAGCCAGTAGTTTCTTGAGTGACACATTTGTCATAAGTTGTAAAGAAACTTTAACGTACAGATTTATCTCAAACTGGATGTTACCAATCAGTACAACGATTATGATCTTAGTGGACAACAAACTCTACTCCTCCATAAAACGTGTTTGGAGTCAATTTATTCTCGTATGTTTGATTGTCTGCTGTTCAGACCTACTTAAAGGCTTCTTCAGTAATATAACTCATATCATTAAAAATTTGAAACAAATGAGCAGATCATAGAAGGATTTTCAGTGTGAAAATTCGAATAATTGTTTTAAATTTTCTTTATAATTATTGTGATACCTATTCTCAGTGGTTGAAAATGATAATTGTGAATGTTGAGAGGATAAAATCTCTCAATCTGATTGTATTGAAATCTTAAAAACAAACATCTGTAAAGTGGGTATTTTATTTCCAAGAAATGCTGTTGTATAATTTATACAAATCTACATCAACTGTATGATGAATGGATGAAATAAACAATATTTTGAATACATCTGGTAAATAGAAAATACTATGACGTAACTTCTTATGTGAATTCTATCAGTTTTTCGTTGGATCATTAACATTAAAATCGTAACGTTTTCTTTGATTCAACAACGGCTTGCATTCAATTTTTCTTTTCAAAAACCTGGTACGGATAATATTTGTGCATGAGAACAGGTTTTGTTTAATTACATTTGATAATGAAAGCGTTAAACAAAAACTTAACTGAAATTCGAAGCCTGAATACCCTTTAATGTCAGATCATTATGAAAACACTCTTCTAAATTTTAAATCTTATTAACATGTTTGTTCTAGGATGTAACTTACGAGGTATTACTCTGTCAAGCATTTTAAGACGCAAGCAGTGTGTTCAGACCCATCTGTTTATCCTATACAGGATGGGAATAAGAAGGTAGATGGAAAAAATAATTTCCAAAGAGAGACAAGACTTTTAAGACTGTATCTCTGAACATTTCTCAAAGAACTATGTCATCATCATCAAATGTTTGTGGGCAATCGATATTAGGACTATGATATTGTTATTACTATTATGTGATGCACAAGAGGCCTTCGAAGAGGAACCTTAATCTTGTTCAACAGCTTTATTCCAGATATTATCTTCTAGGTCATCAAGTCACGCCAACTAATCAATATATACCTACCATAATCAAGAATATGAAGTTGTGGGATCTATTGAATAACGTATATTTCAGTTCTATAGGCTGGTTTCACAGTGGTTTTCCTGTTTTAGTTTTCACAATAAATGAAACAATCTTAAAATCTGTCTTGTAATTTTTTATGGGTTGTTTTTATTTACCAGCTGCTTTGCCAATCATAAACTAAGTTAAATATTTATGTAATTAACTTAAGAGTTACATTTTGTTAGTAAAGTTATGTTTTCAAAAAACTCTGTATGTAACCTTAATTATAACAAAATACGTAAATCAGACTGGTCAAGCTTCTACAAAATACTATTTAGAATCAAAACTCTATTAGAGGAAGGAAAAATTAACTTCCCAATGAGTTACTAATTATCCATGTCACTCTACAAACATAAACTAACATATATTCAACGTCCAGTATATATATATATATATATATATATATATATATATATATAACAAAATTCTTTATTTGTTGTCGTTTGAAACATACAACTTTATAACGTACTTGCTTAGTTACGCATGTTACCCCTTCTGAAGAAGTAAAGGCCGCCCACCAGCATTCTCCATCCAACCCTGTCCTGTACAATCCTTTTCAGTTGTTTTCAAGTGTTATTCATCCTTTTCAGGTCTGTACCCAATTTTCGATGTTGCAGGTTCTTCAGCCTTCTTCTTTAGCGTTTCCCTTAGAAATTCTAAGTGAGAGCTTTCCTTATACGCAGTTTGATGATTTTCACAGTGTATTTTCTATCCACTTTCAAAGTTTTCTTCCTAATTTCCTCCTAAGATGGAAACTGATTTGTCCTCTCTCTACAGTAGGCTGTTGTAGATGGTATCCGGCAAACGGATATTGAGTATCTTGTCCAGACAACTGTTTAAAAACACTTGTAGATTTCTGATGATGATTGTAATAGTTCTCCACGTTTTAGCTCCATATAGTGGAACTGCCTTGACGTTTGTATTGAAGATTGTGACTTTGATATTGGTTGACAGTGATTTTTCCTACGTAGGTGGTGGAAAATTTTGAGTGCTACCTGAGTATATTTCAGTCTGACAGATGTGAAATCCTCATTTTAGAATTACTGCACAATTATTATTCTGTCTAATATTATTTTATACATTCATATGAATATTCGTCCTGTTATTTTGATTGATTACAGATGATTTCATCGAGTAGTGTTAAATTAATTGATACTTGTTTAATTAAAAAACCTTCTGGCTTTGGGTTGACGTTGAGTGGAGTTATAACATTTATTCCAAATGGTATATTAGATGTCAACATTATATCTAATTTATCGGACAAGCAAAAAGGGTTCTTTCAACGTTTATTACAGATACGAAGTGTGAGTGATGATGTAATAACATATGATAATGATTTAGTTCAATCACTTGGAAAGAATAATTCAATACGACCTGGTGATATATTACTTGCTGCCGGTGGTTGTCGTTTAGCAGGCTGCACTCCTGAATATGCTGTACAGCTGTTGGCCAAGGTTCCAGTAGGCAGTGCTGTTCAAGTTACTTTACTTCGAGGACTAGGGATTCCTGGAATTTATTCTGTAACCGAAGATCATAACTACACTAAACATTTTAATGAACCGAGATCATTCAGTTCGTGTTCTTCAATGAGCAGTTCCTCAGAATTGTCGCCGAAAAGGATAAATTCGGACTTCGAATCTCAGAACGGATCAAAATGTGTGAGATCCTACATGGAACACGTAAGTGTATTATTTAAGGAATGTAGGATACTTCATTAACCCAATCTTTAAGTGAATGAACTTATTTTTTTTGTATTAGTAGCTCTGCTATTTAATTAACATGTAAATTATGTCTGTCATCGAACTAAATAAATGAATTTTGTCAGCCTGTTATAATGGATCACTAGTCAAGCTTAAATATAGAAAAGACCTCTCTAATTAACACAAAAAAGACTAACCATAATGAGATTTACTCAGTAATAGGTCCTGGTAAAATCCATATAACTACAGAAATTTCAAGCTGTGATACATGTCCACTCGACATTAACAAATGCTTTTTTCAATACAAGATCGTCATACAGCTTTTGGGTGAACTAGTTCATATTACAAGACGATAATTTAATACAAATTAAAGATAAAAAGATTTGAAACTAGTCATGTAGCAGAAGGCATCAGTATGAAAATTTTAAGACACTAGTGTAACAAAATCTGCAAGCCCTCGACTATTTAGGTCATTGTCTTTCACATTCACAAATAACAGCCATAAACTAGTAATCATTATTTTTAATTCACAAACTATTTGTATTTTTTCCTATTTTTGTAACTGCACTTATCAAATAGTGAGGGGTACTCTATCATATTTTTATCTAATGGATGGCATTACTAAATAGGAAAAAAAGTAACTATGAAAATACTAAATCTGCATAAAACTCCTTTTGATAATAATAATCATATGCTCACTAGTGACTGACTTCGAGAGGTAAATCCTAGAGTTCTAGTGAGAAGCAGTGACCAGTGGAGTTCAACCAGGTCTGTTGTGAGATAGGAACGCACTAAAGACAATTGGTAAACGCTTGCTCAACTTCGTGGATTGGTTGAAGTTAGACATAAACACCATCCGATGCCGGCTCAGTGGTCTATCGGTTAAGTGCTCTGGCGCGAGACTGGTGGGTCCTGGGTTCGAATCTCACGAGGCGAGGTCGTGGATGCGCACTGCTGAGGAGTCCCACAATAGGACGAAACAGCTGTCCAGTGCTTCCAAGTTTCCTTTGGTGGTCTAGCTTCAATTGACTCACGCTTGCAACTATGAAAATACTAAATCTCCACAAAACTCCTGATAATAAATAGGAGTCGTTTACGATCATAGATATTATTAAGTATGAAGCATCAGAGAGCGATAATTTTGAGAAAATCATAATTTTCTAAATGTTCTTTGCTCCGGTTTTTTTAATGGTTAACTACAAATAAATTCCTTCTTCTTTTAAGTTGCTCATAATCTGCAAGCTTCACACAATAATCAGAAAAGCAGTTGTACTACATCAAAACAAAATAATTTCGCAGTTTATCATAAACGATTAATTAAATCTTATCACATGTATTTTACATACAGGTAAATTTCTCGGTACATTTTACGTGAAACTTAATAGTTTCCATTTTCGCCAATGTCTTTATGGTTTATCATAACTTCCCATCTTACTTGATGTTGATAGAATCAATCAATGAAAATCAATATTGTTTACGGTATCAAAATGGAATAAACTTCAAAACTATTAAGGATATGTAGAAAATGGTATATTTCTTTAGAATATTCACAATATTTAATAATTTATGTACTTTCTAGAGTATGACAGATCATGAACAATAAACCAATAATCTTTTTAAGGATCAGATTAGTAACTAAAAACCCAAATGAAACAAACCTAAAACTTTAACTTGTCATCTCATTGTTTACTGTCATGATTACCTGACTAAAGTATTTTCGGCGAGACTATAATTTATGGACGACCTTTGAACAAATCTTAAGTGATTATGAGAAATATTAAACAATCAGTAAACAGTCAGTATAGAGTTAAAATATATTATAAAATATCAAATAATTAAAGTGGATACACTTCTTTTATATGGTCCGAAAACTTGGCAAGGTTAAATGGAGGTTCAAAGGTTCTAAAATCGCAATGCAAAAGGTAGAGGAACTCATCCATATGGCTCCATAATAATCGGTCTATGGAGCTATGATAAGGTCGCAAAACTCGCTCAGCCTCGACCACATAAGTTCAGTAATGTTTGTGTGTACTCCTGTTGCTTAAGTTTGTTATTACGCATATGTCCCTACAAAACCCATACCACTGAACAGCCGAAGCTTCAGTAACATCTGCGAACATTTCGGCCAATGTTATTGGTGCTTTTATTATACAGTTCACAAGAATTAATATAATTTGCCTTAGTCTCAATCTGGATCGAGCGATAAAGGTTCGTATTCTAGCAAACGTCTTCCTTCAACATATGTTACATCGAAGGACAACATCATGGTAGTCTGCACAAGGTCTACAAGTCATTTAATATTCGTAATTACAAATACAGGAACTTTTTAGTAGTTTCATTTGTTGTAGTCGCTTAATTGTCAAGTCTTCTCTAAAATCCTCTGTGAATCATGCGTACATAAGCATCAGGTACTGAAATCGGCACCGTGACCTTGAAATCCTCAAATGCTTCTGATTGGCTCGTCCATAAATTATAATCTCGTAGTATTTTCTTCTCACTCATTAATTATAAAATACAAACTGCTTTAAAATGATGTAACTAAGCAAATGTTTTTATACATTTTTATTACTGATTTTGCACTGATTTTATAAAGTTAAAAGTTAAAAATAAACATTCTGTCATATTTTACTTTCATATACTTTTAAATGTTTAGTATAAAATAATCATGATAAAAAGATTTTGACTTTAATGAATCTTGTTTGAGTATACTCACTGTCAAATAGCATATCTCTAATAAGGATAGAATCATAAACAATTTATTCTTTTTGCAGTAAACACTTTACTGACTAGGTATTGAGACATTTGTTACTGTTTATTATGCATATATATGAACCAACATCACTTTTTATGAGAACACTTTATAATTTCAGTTAGTTAGTCTAGTTTATTCATCATACATACTTATATTTAACAGATGAAATCTGATCTTGCCTTGACTTCTAATGTTCTACAAGGAACTTCCGGTTTTTCATACTTGATATTGAACAGTAATAGACAAAATATAACTATGTATATACGCTATAGTTATGAAATAAATAACTAATTTCCATATTTTGTTTGCAATTTCCTTTTCATTGTGATGGTCAATACAGTTTTGCTCAAATTGTTGCAATTCCCTACGAACTGTGAAGTTGGTTAAAAAAGAAAATGAATATGGATTCACTTATTTTTATACAAATTATGGATGCTTGGTTAATCAGGTAAGTAAATGATTAAATTGTTTTGCTTTTTTTTAAAAAAAGCAATGCTTATACTACATATAAAGAGTACTTTTTGTATTAGAAAAAGATCTATTTTGAACTGTCAGTGAATTAAGGTAATTAGGTTTACTTAGTGAACTTCTCTAGTTACCAACATTCATATGAGTAGAAAATTATCAGACTTTTTTTATTTAAAATTGTTTAAAACGTGTATAACGATCACAAATGTCCTCGAATCATTGTGCTTTTAAGAAAAATATCGCTGAATAAGCACATACACGAGAAAGAAAATATGAATCGCTCAACAAAATCTCATAGCACTGACTATATTATTATCTAAAGTAGAAATTTAGTTCTTGTAACTAAGGATTTTGAACAAACACAAATAACTAATTTATAAAATTATCTATTATCATCAGAAAGGGATATTGTTATAACTTAGGGTCTGTGTGCCCTGTTAATGTATAACGTGATAATACCGCCAATTAGAGAACAGTGAATTATCGATCACACCAATGACACGCGGAATCCGTACGAGCAGTCTAGAGTACTTATCGGTCCTGCTTCTGCCTAGCCCAGCCAGTTAAGTCCAGAACACCAATAACAGCCTCTGTAATATGATTCATTTATTTCAAACATACTGGGTTCATATACTAATCAAACAGACCACATCGTACTATAAAATAAGAAACAACATTTGTACAAGATTTAGCCAAATGTGGCTGTGAATAAGAGAGATATTAATTGATAGACAGCATAACTCGAGAATGATAAATCGTATAATAATTCATAAGTCAAAATAGAGCTCATAATAAGTGGGACACGAATATGAATAGTTTAGTTATTTAACAATTATACAATAGAAATATACGCATAGCATTGGTCCATAAATTGATCCCAAATGTTACCATTCATTATTCTTATCGGGATATAACAGGTTTTGTGGATATTATAGTAATTTATTAGTTAAATTCATGACTCAATTAAAGCTAGACCACCATGGAAAACCTGGAAGCATTGGACGACCTTTTCGTTGTATTATGAAACTCCTCGGCAGTGAGCATCCATGATTATTATCAGTTCATTACACCGTTATCCTTTCATTCAACCATTACACTTGCTATACTTTATAAATATGATGATTATAAACAATCAAATTTGATTACAATCAAAAGTCAAATCATAATTAATTTCTAGGTAAACAGAGTTGATGTGAAACCTAATGTTCTTAAATTGTTTTTTTTTGTTTCTAAATCAACAGGTAACTAGAAATAACATAAATCAGTTAAATAAAACAAAGTTGCAACCAGGTGATTTGATAGTGAAAATTGGTCATTTTGATGTAGTTAAATTAACTAATACTCAATTTTCACAATTATTGAGTGTATACTTAAAATCTGAATCAATACAGTTTACTGTGATTCACGGTAAGTATTCAGTTTATTTATTTACTTATTTGAACATATAAATATTGGTACAAAGGGGCACCAGATATATATGCACCACACAAGCCATTTGATTTATTTGTGGGCTGTGATACTGCCTAGGTGCCCAGACCGAAACATGTGGTTTTCTTAGGGGGCTACACCCGGAGCCTTCGACCAAAAGGTTTAACCCACAAGGCAGTCAAGCATCGTGAGGTGATTCAGTCCCGAGGTAGCCGGTGACCAACAATTGATTCATACGCCATTTGTTCCCTCAGGATACTGGAGCCCATGTGCACCACTGGTTTTGAATCAGGGTATTCCAACTCCCCTAGGTGAACTTTCTGTGTCCATTAACCCGGTTAAAGCACCGGGCATTCACTTTTCGTCCTCTCAATTCCTCAAACAACACTCTGCCGTGAGAAGGCAGTAAGCAGAATTTCCCTGACAGTGGTTGTATACCCGTGGTCATATGAGAGCGTTTTGAAAGGGAGAGCTGACTCTTCCTACTATCGATCGTACCAGAGCATTTGAGTGCCTAATGAAAAAAAAGTATTCTATAAAAAGTAATGCATTAGTTTCATTGAATATTCTTAGTTACATTTTGTGCATTAACTGTTAATAGAATTTTATTGAAATTACTTTTAAATAAACTTATTAATTGTAGATCAAATCTTGTCTAGTTACCTGAAGTTTTTAAACTCCAAGAGCAATAAATATAAAAAATGAATGTGAACTAAATAATTTTGAACAATGTTTTATGTAAACTATAGACAAATTATTTGTATGATACCATGTTCGTTTATATGAATCTGTGAGGATGGCTGCCGGTGAACTCATGGAAGCTCTAAAAAGCTCTGAAAGAACCGAAGACATTCTGTCCAATCATTTTTTCGGAAAAAAATTTCAAAGTCTCAACATGTGTCTTCCCGATTGGACAAATTCGATTTCGTTTTTACTGAAAACTATAAATACCCAAGTGTATTGTATCATATTTATTACTTTTTGAAATAAGATTCCTTTCCACTCGTCTTCTGTCTGTGATCAAGTTGTATGTGGTATAGCAATAATTCAAGCTCTAGATAAAACAGAATCAGATACTGAAAGAATTCTTAATTGAGAAAAAATATGAGAAAATTGTTTTTCTCTGCTTGGTATTGACAGTTGATAAATATCTTCAAAAATGCTTCTTTGATTCATTGTGTAGTCGAACAACTATTATTTGTCTGTTATTAATTTAACAGTAGTTGGTAATATTCAGAATTAATGTCTGTCGCATCTCTGTGAATATAAAACGATTGACCTACTTTAACAGTCGTCCAGAGCCCTTTTTCAGAATGTAATGAGAAGTAATTTTAATGAGTTAGTTTATTTGTTGTATAGTAATGATACAATGCATTAATTTAATTCTAATCTTATCAGAAAAATTTAAGCCATAGGAACTCAAACATACAATCTACAGTGTAAACTTAAGATTAACCTATTGATATAAATAAAGTCAATTGATAAACTCTTAATTCAAACAAATAAAACATGAGGCTTTTGTTTCAAATGAAGAGTTACATACAGTATTTTTATTCTGAAGTGTATAGACTTAGCAACATAGCTACGTAGCCTCAAATCTTATGATTATTATTATTGGCATTTAGTGTTACTCATATTCTAAGATGAGTCATTTCATTAGTTCCTGTCTATTGGGTGTGTACACAAGAATATTGTAAGAAATATATATGTAATTTTCATTGGTTAGCTTTTAACAGTTTCATACTACTTATATTCGTACATAAATACGTTTTCGCCTATATATACATATTCAATGCCAAACCACACCCTTAAATGAGGGATAGAAACAATTTGTTTATTAGAATTGAATTTTAACAAAATCTAACCGCAACTTTGCTTCATTCTGTTTTTATCAAAGTTTGTTCAACTTGTTTAAAACAAGTAAATCATGCAAATATTCATTCGAATTCTAAAAAATCTAAAAATCATTATTTGGATTTAAACAAAACTACTTCCACACCAACTACACCAACAATAAGAGAAACAAATAAAGCTGAAATGATATCCTTCCTAAGAACAGTATTAAATGCAAATTGTCATGGAAAAAAATCCACAAACCATAATCTACAAACAAATGATAAACACAGTTCTTCGAATACTTCTGAGCTCAATAATGTAAACAATTTATTAATGAAGAGGAAACCTGAATCATGGTTGCCTGTACAGTGTATTACTCCAGGTATAGGTAAGAGTGGTCCTTGTGAAACGCCAGACTTTGTACCGATATCACAATTCATAAATACACTGAAAACAAACAATCATCAAATCAATGATTCTTCTCATTTAAATAATATACCACAATATGATTATCAAAAATTTGATGTATTCAAACAAAATCAAATAAACGAACAACAACAACAATCAATTGTAAACGATAAACATTGTGATAATCCTTTATTAGATCAAATCTCTTCACCTTATTTATCACCAATAATACAAATGAAAAATTCCCATAACCCAATGTTGAATATTCCTGAAATTAATACTAGTAATACAAATTATAATAATTTTACTGAAGATGTGAAAATTCGCTATAGCACAAAAGATGGAAAATTAAAATTTGTTAAGGAAAATATTGAGCAAAATTTAGTAAGTGAATGGTATTATTATTGTTATCGCTATGGGGTTGTGGAGATTTTTGAGTTTCTGATTGAGATCATGGATCGATCAATGTCAAACCACCATTGAAAATCTGGAAGTACTATTATGGGACTCCTCAGTAGTGCTCATTTACGATATCGCACATGGGACTCGAACCCTGAATCTTCAGTCCCACTAGCGAACGCCTAACCTCTAGGTCACTGAGCCGGCATCCAACAGTGGTAATACCGAGTGTCATATGTTGATGATGTATATTTAAATTTTCATTAGTCAATTCATCTTATTCATATGCACAACTGAAATAAATATTTTTTACTCTTAAAGTTGTAATAATGTGTAATGTATTTCTAAATTGAAAAGTCTGTTTATTACGTAATACCATTTTGTTGCTGATTTTATCCTTGAGGTGTTTTCTTTTTAAATTTAAAAAGTTAATTTATAGTAATAAATAAAGTTTATTTATTGCGACCCCTATGAAATCGAAAACTGAACTCGTTAGTCATCTACAGGCTCATCAACTTCTAAAGCTTATAATAATAATCATTATTACTTAATCGATAACAGGTGAAGATAATATAGTTCTAAGTTGAAACTTCATTATATAAAATTATTAATTGTACTAAATCAACAGAAAATATATATTAGACTTTATTATTGAACAACCAAATGAGTGATTTTAGATTAAGTAAAATAAACATTTATATTTAGTTACCCTTCGGCAGAGGATATTTTCTGAATCCTGCATTTGGTTTAACAAAATTATCGAAAACCCTTCTTCCTACTGACAACAGCGCGATGTCTCCTTAGTTATAACAGGTAATAAGATCTCGTTTCTTCGGTATCATGTTGAGGTATTCCTCCTTCAAGTCTGTTGGTACTTGTTCTTTCTGAATATGACAAAAGACATCTTAACACTGATCTATACATCTGACTTCATTGCTTCAGCTGGAATACTATCTGACCTTGTTACTTCGATATTCATGATTAGTTTGATGGCCTTGGTGATTTTTCGATTAGGAGTGAGGCAACATATATAGGGAGGTCTGTGCGTATCACCTCGATGTTCAGTTGGCTCAGCGGGATTACTTTATTCAAAAGCTCTACCCACTTCTTCATTGAACCTCAGTGATTGGTGTACCTTCTTTATTCCTGACTGGTCGCAATGGTTCACCATATTTTTCTGCTACCTTCTTCGTGGTATCATTCAGTTGTCCTATATATCCTTCTCTTGCAGCTTTTTCTGTTGCAATGCTAAGTGTACCACGTATTTCCGCTTGTCGGCCCTAATACTCCTCTTAATTTGTTTGTTTGCTTTTGTGTATCCGGACTGTACCTTGGCTTTGTCTTATCTTATTTGGCTATTGTTAATTTCTGTCTTCTTGGTCTTCCCTTCCTGAGTTTTGCTTAGAGTATCAACAGAAATCCACTCCTTATGCTGGTGCCTATTGAGGCCCATCAACTCCTAGAGTGTTGAATTGAGTATTTCATTAATTCCCCTCCAATCGTTTTCTACAGTGGGTTTTTTTGCAGACATTGTAAGACTTGATACTTATCACTAAGATGTATTTGGAAAACATTGAGTTTGTTGGGATATTGAGGGAAGTTTTTATTAAACGTTTGTAGTGCTATATGCCCACTTGTCTAATGCTATTTTAGCTTAAACTTTAGTTTTCCTACCACGAGATGTTGATCTGAAGCTATATCAGATCCTCCCTTTGTCCTTACTTCTTCCATGGTTTCTCGAAAAATTTTATTGACACGGATATGACCGATCTGGTTCTCTGTAGTGTAGTCAGAGGAAGCTGACACAGCATTGTATATGTGTTTGTAAGGTTACGTTCTACCCATAACCATGTTTTTGGAAAAACATAGATCTACCAGTCCTTCGTTATTTTTGTTCATATCTCCATGATGCTTTCGCACTCGGCTTGTCTATCCTGACCTCGGCATTTATTTTTGAAATGAATAGTTGTTAATATTTTCAGTATGAATCTGCATCAATTCGCGTAAGCCTCCTATGAATAGAGTTCGATAAAATTACACAGATTGAGACTTAAGATACATCTGATGAACATATATATATTTCATTTTTTAACCATTTAATGATATATCACCACTGATTAACGTAGCTTATATTTCAGATTAATGTTAGAGAATCAGAAACATTAAGATATCAACATTTGATTTCATTTACATTCCTAGAGTAGTCCGGAAAACACTTTATCATTTCAAACCTTGTAAATATTATCATTTTTATTACCGAAAATGATAAACATATGGTCGTTTAGCTACAGTTCCCTTTCTATATAATGGGAATGCAAAATGCTTTCATGACAATTCTCTGAGTTGTTTTTTTAAAATTGAAAAACAGGCGAATGAATACTTAAATGAAGTTAAAAGCTCCTGTGTTATCATTTGGACATATACATTTTATAGTCACTGGTTACCTTTTATGAATACTGGAGGAAAATTGTTCTATGTATAGTATTTCATGTCAGAATAAATCAAATAAACTAAATTTTCACTATATGGATAGATAAAAGTAATGAGAATGAAACTATTTATCAAGGGTTTTACAAAGCTGTTATTCATAACTTAAACACGGAAAAGTTCTCTTCCTTTTAAACGCCTATTGTTTCAATAAACTATAATCTTTGTGTGTTGATTGATTTAGAATATTGAAGTACCGATTACAATTTCAGTAGAAGTCTTAATTGTTTATTCATGAAACAACTAGTAGGTAAATTCGTGAACTTTTACAAGAATACTTCACCAATACATTTGTGCTAACCTTCAGTTCTATAAGCGAAAATGGATAGTGACTAGCAGTGGAATCCAGGACACGTGTTTCGTCCTGTTTGAAACTCTTCAGCTAGATGTACCTGCATCTTACTTTGGGACTCGAACCCAGTACCGTTCTCTTCAGGACTTAGTAGCCAAGTGGATAATGCGATGGCGTTTGAAAGTACAAGTACACAACACCAAGTGAATTTAACTTTCAGTTCAAGTATTTTTTTACCACAGAGTTACTGTTACACGTAGTATATAATAATGATGTAGAATTAAGATATTCCAAATGTAAATCTTCAATGATCATTTTCAACATTCAAAATAATGAAAACTATCCTAAAAATTATTTAACTTTTAGTTAAAACCTAGCACCTTATAAATCCATGATTAAAACAAATGACCACAAGTCAAACTTTTCTTACAGTTTGAACACTTAAGCGTTTTACAGGTTCCGCTTAACCTGGAGTAAACTTATTTATCACTTTATTTAAATATGTAAAATACAATTTTAAGAATGCACTATTTTCTTATAAAACTCTATTTTTGTAAACATAACTTATTTTCTTCAGTCATGTATCATACCTGTAGAAGACAATGGAAATTCAAGCGAATCAAGTCAAAATTTAGTGGTAGGTGATCTGTTAGTGGCTATCGAAAATCATTCTGTATTGAGCTGTAAACCTAATGAGATTGAAGAACTACTTCGATCAGCAGCAAAGAATAATAATGGTTTTGTTACGTTGACTGTTCGTAGAATACATCCATCAGATAAAGCTGAATGCATGAAAATATCAGGTATTTATCAATTTCAGTGTACTTTTTTGAAATTCTGATTATGTTTATTATTTACCATTACTGTAGAAAACAACTTGGCATTTTATTCCAGATCATGACAATGTCAATGTATCTATCTTGTAGAAAAAATAAAATATTACTAACTAATCTGCTTTGAGGTATATTGCTTGTGCGAGGGCTAATAGTGCTTCCTGTCTTCCTGAACGACCGTGAGTGAAATGAAGTTTATGCTCAAAAACTATTGACTGAAAAATGATTACTTTAACACTTAAGCTATAGTTTTTAAGTCTAAGGGAAACGTTTTTAACAGCTAAGAAGAAACTAAACTGGAATTATATAAAGCTCTTAATATCATCTGAGGTTCTAAAAAGAATATGTTTAATTTTATCTACGAATGGAAGCTGATTGTGTTCTACTTCTATCATCCATTTTTTATGATTTCTGTAATATATAACACTAGAGACTAGAGAAAAGAACAATTTGGTAGATAAACTGGAAACCATCTTTTTCTAATTATTGGAATGAATTTAAACTTATTCTCTAAGTTAAAGCAGTTAGGCTATACCAATTCACCAGATATGTAAAGACCTTAAATAAAGTTTGAAAGACAAAATACCTAGTATAGTTTTCGTAATACATGCAATTTCATATAAGATTTTAAAAGGTTAATATACTTCAAATTATTTCTGTTGACTGAAAGTTAATCTAATGTGTTTTTATCGAGTTTTACTCTCTGAACTGGACGGTTTGGTCGTTAAGTTTTCGTTGTTCCTCTGAACAAACGTCAGAAAGTTTGTGCTGATGATGTCGTTTAGAAGAACGATAGAAATTTCACAACCAAACCATCCAGCTCAGAGAACAAAACTCCATCGAAATCATTCACTTGAGCTACAAATCCTCATCATCTCATAATCTAATGTATATTAGTACTCGTTTAGTCTTTAAAATAAACAACCAATGGAAATTTTGGTATTATTTCTTACTAGACTGAATACTAAAAGCAAATTTTGAAGTTACACCTTCGAATGCTAAACTGTTACCTGAAATAATTAAGAACAATTTGAGCATGAAATAATGGACCATATTTTTTACTTAATTGTTTGAAATTATAAATAAATACAACCAGCTTTAAGACCGCATACGCATAAGTACATCGACTTTGTATGTAAAATAACACCAACAATTCACAAACAATGATTTTAAACGTGTGCAACCTAGTTCACATCAATGAGTTTTCAGTTACTAATACAACTTTTATTTATCACCACTGAAAACTTTGTTAGTAGTATAAAACATTTAACGAAATTATCTACGACGTTTACGTTAAGTCAACAAGATATTAAATAATTTTCAAGGACTGGCCACGAAAACGTTGTAATCTAAGGGTATATATTGTCTATAATTCCTTATTTCCGTGCAATTAAACAGTTTATTTGTTATATCCTGAAATTCATTGAGCAGTTTTTGTGAAATCTGGTAATAAATAATTTTTTCAATATAGTGCACGGTGCTTCTAAGGACTGTCGGAATACGAAACAATATTGAAGCTCATAAGGTAGAGATTTCGTCAATTTTTATTACTTTGTGGAGTTGACTTAACTATCTACAGAAATAAATAAGGGTAGTAAAATATATTCACTCTACTCACATGACATTTTACAAACTAACGAAGGTCAGTTTTCAGAAATAAGATAGTTGAAAGTACTTTAGAAAGATAAATCCATACAACATAGTATAAATTATACGAAACCTTGATAGCTAATATACAGGGATGACTGTATAATTTTTAATCGAGTTTCAGAATAACGACAGCAAAATAAAATAGGAAACAAAGTTTGAAAAATAAGTTTCAATTTAGGCTGACTAACTGTGGTCGCAAGCAACACTCGACTGGGTTGTAAACGAGATAGTCGAAAAATAACTATTTAGTTTTCTAATTATCTATCACAAATCAAGCTTTTTTAACTAAGTGAATGTCAGTTTAATTGAGTCAAAATTGTATGTATTTTTTAGCTGTATTCAATGCAGACAAGTCACAACGACAAACTTTTTAACAAAATTTTATCTTGAAATGAATACATCTCACAGGACAATCCTCAGAAAGATAGAAAATATTTATCTTAATGTGTTCTTTTGATTATTATACATACATTACTAAATGTCGTTTGAGGTGATAGGAAGCGCGTCTATGCTCACTTTTGTTTACTCCACAAAGTACTTTCAAAGAAAAGATGTAGCTTTTAACACTGGATTAAATCTAGTCATACTTTAGGATCTAGACAACTACGTAGTATTCGAATGTGAAATCCATTCGATACATTTTTAGTAAAGAATTCATCTTCATAATTTTTAAGTAATGATCTTAAATACTTTCCTAAAACGAAATATTCCTATTTTAAGAAATAAATGCAAGGATTACATTTTAAGATGGAAAACTGTACACCTGATGTTGTTTATGATTATGAACATTTTAAAGCTTTTAATTTGAAAATCATCGCTATAAATGACCTTTAACATTATCTTTGATTATAGTTGTTTTATTTGTGTCTGATATATTACAGAAGTACCAACAAAAGATTCAAACAGTTCAAACATAATCAATGTGGAGTTATTGAAAGAGAAAGATGAAGGTTTTGGTTTTGTGATCGTCAGTTCTTTGAATAAAGAGAAGGCAAGTGAAATAGGTAAGTATAAATGTAACAAAATATAACAATATTCTAACTACTAAAGAAAAAATAGACAATTAGTCAATTAGATAAGAATTAACAGAAAAATTAATCAGAGAAATCCTTGAATAAAACGGATACTAATAATTCGAGATATGAGGTGAATTTTACTACTAACAATATTTAGTACACTACCAAGTCGCAAAATGAGAAGACAGAAGACTAGTAAGTAGGAATGTTATTCCAAACAGTGTCAATTATAGTAGAAACATCTCATGTATTTATAGTTTTTGGCTGAAAGTAAATCATCATTTCGGACAGCCAATAGGCACATAAAAGGTCCTTCTTATTCATCCAATAGGGAAGCTACACGTCGACACTCTAGAATGTTCCCCTAGCGGTGATTGGATGGAATATCTTCGTCTCTTTCTAAGCTTCTTGAAGCTTACTTGAGTTTGTCAACGAGCCATCCTTACAGCTACCAAGGTCTGACTTGATAATTTTGAGTAAATTGAGGATTGAGTAGATTGTTATAAATAAATAATACATTTCTAATATCCCAATAAGTAGAAAAATTAGATTTTCTGACGTTTCGTGACTCAGTAATAGTCACTTCTTCAGAGAATAAATAACCAAATTAACATTAATCCAAGTTTAAGTAGTACAGCATTGTACTATTCTCTGAAGAAGTAGCTTACGCTGAGTCACGAAACGTCAGAAAATCTAATTTTCTTACTCATTGGGATATTAGAAATATATTTATTTATAACATCTATATGTGCATTCATTTTAAACAAACAAATAAAAATTTTGAACTCAAATATTAGATATTAGCAAATGTTTCGGTTTAAACAATTATGACATACCTTATGCATTTACTACACAATACTGACCAAAGAAGAAATATTTTTGGGAAAAAACATATGGCTAAGAAACAGGCTTCAAAACCTTTTACATTTAGTATAAATCTAGTAATAAGGTTTAAGTTTACTGATTGAATTTCACTTGATGATTGAACAAATATGAAAATTCTGAGTTACATGACTCAATTTAACTCCATTCATTCTTTGAGTTCATTTGAACTTCCATTTTTTTCAGACGTTGTTTCACTGCTCTATTTATGCTCCTTCTGTTAATGATATTAATCTTAAATATCCCTCATTCATTTATTCCTTGTTATTAAAATGTAATAACTTGATTAAGCACCTTTGTTTCTTTTATTTATTTCTGATTTCATCAATGTACTGTATATCAAATAAAAAGAGAAATAAAATCACGATTTATTTTCCATATAATTTGAAGTTATTTCAAAGTAGATATTGCTTAGTTAGATCGTTCTCAGCCTGATTGTTGAGCACTATGTACTTGATTATTTACATTGGAATTAGTTCATCATGTGAGGACAGCCCATGGTGAACTCAAGAAAGCTTTAAAAAGCTCTGAAAGAACCGAAAACATTCCACCCAATCATCTCTAGGGAGAACATTTCACAATCTCAACGTGTAGCTTCGCGATTGGACGAATTCCAAAAACCACTGCATGTGGACTGAATGATTGTAACAATGATTTCGTTTTTACTAAAAATTATAAATACTCGAGTGTTTTGTATCATAATTGATACTGGTTGCAATAAGATTTCTTTCTACTCGTCTTCTGTCTTCTAACTTGCGACTTGGAGGGTTCAAGCGTTTGAGTGCTTAGATTGTACGCGGTTCTAGTTCTAGATATAACATATCACTTATTAAAAAAATCTTGGAAATCTTTCACGTTATTCTACAGAAGTATATTATTATGCTAATTAAAATAAAAATTAACTCGTTTAAGAAACATCACATAAAGATGTTAGGATTGTAACAAATTATCTTCAGACTGTTGTATGCCAAGACATATATTCTTATCTCTATGCAGCTGTGACATATAGAATCTCAAGCTATGGTCTGGATTGTATCACAAATTCAAAAGTAGGTAACAATTGTACTTATCATATATCTATGCTTTAAATAAATAACTGTCTATCAATATTTTTGTATTGTAATATTTCAGCTAGTTAAAGGTATATCAAAGCATCTAAATTACTCAAACAATTGAATGCATGCTACTATTGGTTGTCGCAATACTAGAGATGTAGAAAATGATATTTCTTCATCTTTTTAGTATTTTCTAACTTCGATTACTCTGCATTTTACATCCGAAATTTCATCTTCAATAACTTTTATAGAGATTTTATTTTCACTGTAAGCCTAAATGATTACCGAAGTTCAAAGTGTTTTTATCAGTAGTTAAAACATGTATCTCATATTTTGTTTTTATTAAAAGGTCGTATAATTCCAGGTAGTCCAGCTGATAAATGTGGACAATTAAAAGTTGGACAACGTATATTGGCTATAAATGGTTATTGTTTATTTGGAATTAATCATATGGATATTGTAAATCTTATACGTCAAAGTCAACAACAATTAATTTTAACAATTGAAAAAACTGGTAAATCATATGTTGTGATTGAAAATTTGAAAATAGTATTTAGCAGAGAAAAGAAAATGAAATTTGATGAGATCATTTGTATCCCTCACTATCATAAACTAGCTATAATTATAAGATAATTACTCTATACATATTACATAACACTACTATCTAATAAGCAAAGATGGATAGTTGCTAACAGTGGAATCCAGGACGCGCGTTTCGTCCTATTTGGAACTCGTCAGCTGGATATACCTGCATCTCAGAGTCGATGTTCACTTTGGGATTCAAACCCAGTACCTTTCGCTTCAAACGCCATCGCGTTATCCACTCGACCACTGAGTCCTGATAGCCACTTGCTTGTGCAATGGGATGAAGTTTGAATTCATTTAGTATTGTTTGTTTGAATCTTCTAATGTTTATTCTCTTACAAATCGTATAACTTTTTCCTTATTCATCTAAGCAATATACATCATATATGGTTTTAGAGAATTAGAGGTAAATAGTAAATGTTTTAAATAGTTCAGTTTTAACTGATGTAAACAATTGATTATATAGAATGGAGTTCTTAGAATTTGAAACAAATGGTCATAATTACTTTTTAAAAAAGAATCTTGGAGTAAATTGTTTACTTTAAAGAAATAATTATGAAGAAAAACCTTAGTTTGACAAAAATCATCCATCCACAAACAGATCATCACAACAATCAACAGTTTTCACTGTGAGTTGGCGTTATAGAAGAAACTATTTAGTTATGTATTTGGTTAATTAATGACTATCTAAATGAATTGAATATCAATGGGATGAGACTAACTATTATAAGTAGTGATGAGATATGACTATAAAATAACCTTTTATGAATTTGAAAAATTCATTCATAAAGAGAACAGAATATGATTTTTCAAACTGAAATGTTACTGTCACTTTAAAAACTGATAGTTGAAAGTCATTATATGTGAAAATTATATTTGAAATAATCTCAGCGATTGAAACTTTGATTATTACCCTGAAGAATTCTAGACAAGTTAACTGGACGAAACGTTGGAATTATTTGAATTTCAATCGCTGAGATTATTTCAAATATAATTTTCACATATAATGAATTCTCTATACTCGGCGCCCAATTTTTGTCAAGCTATTCGTTCGAATCCTGACGAATATTCGTATAAATGACAGTTGAAAGTATTGAAACAAACGATTGAGAAATTATCACCCTTTTTATAGTGTTTATCGTTTTCTAATTGCTGTATGACTGTTCTAATTTTTGTAATCACTAGAAGATTTCAGATAATAAATAGCCATAGTTAATTAATCAGAACAATGATCATTACTTTATTACATTCAGGGATAAAAATTGATTTCTGTACATGCTGCTATGTGTATTGTTATAAATCGCTTACAGTATTTGTATCAAAGGCTGATGATACCATAAATAGAATTTTCAGCACAAAGTATTCCAACAAGTTTTTGTTTCTTATTTCTTGATTGATATTGACAATAAATATTGAATGGTCGCCAGTTAGATGTAAGTATTTCAGAAATCGACACCTAGATAATATTCATTATTTTGACTGTACATTGCCAGACATCACGATGTCTTTAATTGTACATTTTTGTAACTTGTACACCGAAAAGTCGTGAACTCTTCACAAACTCACCTGAATAAGTTATGCAATTAATTGACATAATGATCTGTTAAAACAAACAAAGAAATAGAAAATTTGTTGAAATATCTAGATGGCAGGAACAGGTAGCCCAAATATTCAAGAAGGCCGCCCGATTATGTTGATCTTTTGACTGAAATTTGACCTTTCTTGGTTGGCATATATCCATTCTGTGTGGATTGTTTCTATATTAGTAATTATGACACTCAAATCCCAACGCGTTTGAAGTGAAAAGTACTTGGTTTGAGTCACGGAGTGAACATCAAACTTGGGATGCAGATACATTCAGCTGGCTAGTCCTAAGTAGGACAAAACGTGCGTCCTGGATTCCACTGCTAGCCACATTCCATCTATTCCTACTCATCAGATAAGTAATTTGACATGTATTTATTACAACTATTTAATTATTAAACAAACCCAACAATTTGATGTCATATAAATATGCATTAATATTATAATTATGTATAACACTCGAAATTCCATATTCTAACTCAAATTACAGGTTCTTTGTCTAATGAACAACATAATAGCCGTATTAACAGTTTAGATACAGATGAAAATTTTATCCCACCAGCTACTTCTACAATGGCATGCTCCAATGCATCTGTATGTTTTCATCCTACAAATGGTTCGAAAACTTCAGAAGTAAGTTACAGCGAATATTCACTAGGAAACTATTTATCAATGAACTTATTGCGTAACAAACCAGATATTAATAAGTCTATTCCTGACAAATTATGAATTCTTATGTTTCAATCGACACAGTAGCGATACGGTACCTCAAATCCTACTGCAACCTAGATTCTAATAAAGTTTAATAATATTTATCTGAAAAGTTTTGTTCACTATTCATGTAATTTCATCTCAGAATTTATTATTAAAATTCAAATCATGTAATAAGGCTGAATGTTGGTTTTCGATTTTGCAAGTCCCAATTTACCATAAGTTAGTCAGAAATTCAAGACAATGTTTACATTTAATATGATTTTTCAAAAACTAGTATAGTATTCCCTAACAATCATATTTTTCCTCAGAATGTATAGTTTAATTTATCGATAAATTAGTTCCATTCTGATTGAACATATAAATGAATAAATCAAAAAATAAACTACGAATTAATTTAGATAATCAATGGTAATTGGAATAGAAACATAATGAAGATTCTCGACCTTTCTGGATGACCAACTCAATAAACTTTACACATCACTTAACTACCAAAAAACTACCGGATCAAGCATTTCTGTCCTAGCTTCAGGTAAATTGGGGCAGAACTACCAAAAAAAGAAAGTGTAATAAGTTTTGTTGGTTCGTTCAAATGATAATAAACACAATTTTACAGTGGTTATTTAAAAGGCTACTTGGTACAGATCTAAGAATAACTCATCAAACTCCATGAATTTACATTTATGCAGGTTGTTGAAGTAAAACCTGAAGACATAGACGTAACCCGATTTTCGATAAATCCGTTTGGAGCAATAATGAAAGAATAGCATTTTTCGATATAATCTTAAATACAAACTTACGTGGGTTGATTGGTTCACTTATAAGTATTTAGAAATAAACTATTTTTTCAACATACGTTTTTAATCGAGCTCCCTAAAACTCACTTGCGAATTCATTAAAGATGAAAGTTTAAGAGTATCTCAGTTAAATATTTTATTTTATTTCAAACTAACTGCTGGATAAAAACTGTGTTGTAAAGTCAAGTTTGAATAACATCTCAACTAGAAGCTTATATTCAATTACATTACAACGTGGTCCGAATGGTTTTGGCTTCTCTGTCCGCAGTGGATTCGACTCGAACACATCTCCGTTAATTGTATATCGGATAGCGGAAAATGGACCGGCTTTTCAAGAAGGACAAATGAAAGTGAGTTGTATACCAATACGACAAATGTTAGTGTCATTGAATAAGAAAAAGAGAATTCAGCGAAGAAAATTTTCTTTTCCACGAAATCATTTACTTAAGCTGTACATTCTGGATGACCAACCCAATAAACTTCACACATCAGTTAACAACCAAAAAACTACCACATGAAACACTTCTGTCCTAGCTTCGGGCAAAATGGAGCAGAACGAAATACAGTGTAATAAGAAAACGTTTTCCATATAACTATATATACGAATATAAAGCTTGAGTAGATGATTTCGTCGGAAAGAAAATTTTCTTCGCTGAATTCTCTTTTTCTTATTCAATGACACCATGAGTTATTTTAATTAAATGTTAGTGTCTTAAAAATTATTTACACAAATACTCAAATAGTCACTAACCAATGTGATAGCCGTTTTGTCCGGTTTATATAAGTCTCTAAGGAACAAGAATGAAATCTTGGCAACTTCGAGTTGAACACTTCAAGAGATTAAATAATCACACCCGTCTTAGTGATTGACCATAAGTGAATTATGTTTTGCCTTTCGATATCATACACGTTGTTGTTATCGTATTTATAGATATATTTATCGCTGTTATATGTACTCATGTTGACAAGTTATAAATGTTTTAATGGAAATGACAACACACAGTCCAACACTTGATGTATAATATTATCTTTAATGTTTTCATCATTTAGGTTGGAGATGAAATTCTAGAAATTAATGGAATTAGTACACTTACAATGACACACCAACAAGCTGTCACATTGATTAGATTAAGTGGATCAACTCTAAGAATTATATTACAACGTTTCAATGAAAATCAAAATGAATATTCATTTTAGAAAACAACAACAACAATAGATGAATGCTTATAAAAAATACTTGAAGATATAGACATAGGTAAAAAGTGTTGATGAATTTCATCATTTAAGTTTTGTATAGAGAAAATATATTTTCTAAATTGTACAATGAATCAGATTTTAAAACCTTCATTAAAAAAACTAATGTACAATTCATTCTTTTCGAGTTTACTTTTTTTTATTTATTTAAACATATAAATATTGTTACAAAGGGAAACCAGATATATATGCGCCACACAAATCTCATTACATTTGTGTGAGGGTTGTGATACTGCCCAGGTGCCCAAACCGAAGCAAGTGGTTTTCATAGGTGGCCAGACCCGGAAACTTTGACCTAAAGATACAGTCCACAAGGCAGTCGGGCATCGTGAGGAGATGCAGTCCCATGGTAGCCGGTGACCAACAATTGATTCATACGCCATTTGTCCCCTCAGGATACTCGAGCCCATGTGCACCATTAGTTTGGGATCAGGGTTTTCCAACTCCTCTATGTGGACTTTCTGCGTCCATCAACCCGGATAAAGCGCCGGACATTCGCTTTTCGTCCTCTCAATTTCGTAAACAACACTCCCGCCACGAGAAGGCAGTGAGTAGAACTTCCCCGGCAGAGGCTATATACGCGTGGTCATGTGAGGGCATTTGGAGAGGGAGGGCGGACTCTCCCCACTCTCGGCCGTACTAGGGCATTTGGGAGCAGTTTACTTTAAATGATGAGAAAAAAAACCATTTATAGCTTGAACTAATCTTTACAAATATTTAAAGTAAACTTTAGATACTTTAAGTATTTGTAAAGATTAGTTCAAGTTATAAATGGGTTTTTTTCTTATCATAACTTAATATCAGTTGAGGAATTATTGGAAACTAAACAATATTAAACAATTGTTTCGCCGCGGTATAAGACTCTTTAGCAGGGTACATTCACAATTCCACTAAAAATGAGATCTTTTATAATCTAATGAAATAATATTAAAAAATTGTCAAAAGTATTACGACTTGTTTTATCAAAATAGTCAACAACTAACGAGGAATTTAATAAAACAAAGAATGTTTGTAAATAATACGTAATATAAAATGTAAGAGGACTAGTCATACATTGATGGATAAAAGTACTATGAAGTCTAAAAAGTCTATAAATATATAAAATATGAAGTTATCAGAGTGATATTGTTATAAACAGAACACTAGTTGGGGACAATCGAATGTATTTAAGCAAACATTACAGACTATCTCAGTAAATTCTGATAGCCAAACAATGAACAGTCAATTTGCAAATTAACAACCAATTGTTTCAATCTTCACTGTTTCTTCTCTTATTCCATTGCTCATGCATTTTCCAGACGATTGCGCTTCATTTCAGTTCTTTCCTCATCGGTCTTCTGCCAAAATACATTCTATGTCTGACCCACACCATATACTACTTATATGGATATAAGTAGACCACACCACAATATTACCAAACTTAGATATCAGATCTTAATTAGTTAATGACAATTAATCGAATGACTAGATCTCCACTTAACATTGATTAGTTTGTATAAGGTATCTAAAAGCAGAAACTAGTATATTTCATAGAGTAAAATCAATATTATTTGAATGGTTGTATTTAGTCCTTTGAGAATAGGTGTTCTTGGGATTTGTTCGGCTCAACAAATGTCTCAAGTATACAAAACACAAATAGCTTCAGATGTATGTTATTTACTATATAAAAGCGGAAGGCGATCAGTTTGATTACATTTTTTAGCAAATGGGATGAGAGTTTTTCTGTGACCGATTCTCATTCATATTAATGCATGTTTCAAATAATCCCGTCGGGTGGTTTTCAAACAAATCAGTGTAATCCACCTAACCACATTTCTATATTGTAAAGTTACGTTAAGAGGTATATTTTATCCTTTACCCTACATTAGTTTAGACAAACAATTTACATTATTAGCGCTACAATTAAAACAAATACAACTAAACAGCAAGTAAACAAATCTGTAGGTGGTTGGTTACATCAACTGAAAACATGATTTCAAGAAACTAAACCAATAAAGACATTACTTAAAAGCAATAAACCTATTAGTGATATAATATACATGACTTCAGAAAGTGTAATATTTTATTCCTTATTCTTGTACACAAATAGTACAGTATGTGCTATTTTGGCAACTTACGTACTTATGCCTGTTACTCCTCACGGAGGAGCATAGGCCGATTATCAGCACTCTTCATCCAACCCTGTCCTGGGCAATCCTTTCCAGTTGCTATCCTTTAATTTCGTATCTGCTTCTATTTCCCAGCGTAATGTATCTAAACAATTGTTGACCTAATTTTACATGTATTTTGTAAAACTTTGATCTTTAAAAAAAATAACATAATTTACTTTTAACGATGCGTATAAAACTTGGTTAATTGTTACGAATGACTATTAAATAATTAACACAATAGAAATTCATTAAATTACTTGTAACGCTAAAATCCCCCCACCCCAACACCTTTTCATTCGATAATATTTATCATTAAAAAATTTATTTTGTTTTACACATACAAAAAGAGAAAATGATACACATTGTAAAATAAATAAATTAATAAAAAAAAACAGAGATGAAGAGGGAGGGAATAATTAAAACATAAACCTAGAAGTGTTTTCATTAAAATATATCCACTAGAGATAGTACAGCCGTCACCACCACAACAACAAACAATTAGTCCGATAATAAAAAGCAAACGAATAAATTTATTATTTTCATACAAAAGAACGACTCATTAAAAAATCCTAATAAAAAAAAAGAAATTCTTTTTCCTTTTTTCCCCCATCTCTTGCTATTTATTGCCACAGTGACAATCTTGTCGTGGTTTTGAAATAGAACAGGGGAAAAACGCTAGGAGAAAGAAAACACAAAACAATTTTCACACTATAAACTGTACATAGTAGAATTATAATTGACAATAATAGTACTAGTTAAAAAGTATAATAATCTTATAAACTGACAAACATACATCTGATTTGTTTATGATAGAAAAGAGGATTTTTTTTATTTCTGAAAGATGATAGTGATGTGATAGTAAGTTTACGGAGATAAGATTGAGTGAGTCACAAATAATTAAGTAAAGTAAGTGAGCAGATGAATACAAAGGCAAAGTGGTGAAGACTGAGTTTAAAGTTGGAAAAAATTAAAGAGTTAACGAAATGAAGATGGAAATATTGCGGAGTTTTTATTCTTTAAATACCATTTCATTATTTTGAATAAATAGTCCTATTCAGTGGTATATCTAACACAGAAAATATGTATTTTTGAAAAATAAGGTTAAATAAAAAATTTTAATTACAAAAAAAACCTAGAAACAGTACACACTAAAATACATGATTGAATGCATAAATATAAGTATTAATTACAAATATTCATATCCTCCTGATCTATTATCATTCGACTGATCATTGGAATACATCTCATTACTAGTCATCATCATCGTTATGTACTTATTACGTAATAATAGATAAAAAGTTTTGAAAGAGAAAGAATCAAGAAGGGATTGATATACACATTATTGTTATTACACAAATTTACAGATAGTTGACTATTTACAAAAAGGATAACTATGTGGGATGAGATAATAATAATTTTCTTTAAGAAAGAGAAAATGAAGACAGCCAACTATAGCAATCATGTAATATAAATATATTTATGAAGTAGAAGTAGGTAATTTTTTACTTGGACTAATATTTTGTTGTTCTTGAAAAAGCCATACTTCATGAACAGCTTTTTTATGCTTATCTAAACGTGATTCTGAAGCAAGTAATACTCCACATATATGACAACCATAACCTAAATTAGGCACTGATAATACAGTAGGCCAATATTGGCTACGATTTGTATGATTATTATTATTATTGGTAGTAGTATTTGTTGATTTTAATGTTAATAAATGTTTTAATAACTTTTCAGTTGATTCAAATAGTGGCGAATTATGTGAACATCCTGGACAAGCGATAGATTGTGATAAATTATTCGATAATTTATTTTTATGGATGAATGATTTATTATTATGATGAGACATTAAAGTTTGATGAACTTTTAAACCAGGTTCAGATCGAAATTCTCGATTGCACTGTTGACAAATTAAAGAAGTTTTAACTTGTGAAATATTGTTTGTCGATAAAATAGATTTTTGTTTATTGGATCGATTTGGACGAGATGAACATCGTGCACGATGTATTTGAAGGTAACGCCAACACTTAAATCCAGAACGATTACACCAAGAACAAGTGAATAATGATGATGACTCGTTGGTTTTTGAACTATAATCAGATGCTGGGACAGTTGTTGCATTTGAGATGACAGATCTGACATCGTCAATTAAATTATCACTTAAAGATTGTGTAGACAACGATGATCGACGACTACTATAAGGTAGAAAAAAAGGTTAACAGAAACTAGTTTTCGTTTGTAATATATATTAAAGTATCTAGAAAAATACATAAACTCATCCCACGAAATAGTGGGAATAACTTAATTATCACTTATTAGGTAAAGTAACTGGCATTTATGATCTTGTTAACAAAAATTACCAACCCTAAAATGATGAACAGAAACGGTAGTACAGATTATTAACTATTTCAAATTTTACTAAATTGACCTCTGATTACCGTTACAAAAACATTTTAATCACCGTAGTTTATTCAGATTATAATCTGTTGTTAAATTATTTTACAAGGCTTTCTATTTGCACACATACAATCTTTTATTGTTGATACTCATATTACGGAATCTAGTATTATAATCTCCCTATTGCATCAGTATGTTTATTGCTTAATCATATGTCCTCACCGAACTAATACTTCAACAACAAAAAATGTCTAAACTAAGTATATATATATATATATATATATATATATATATATATATATATATATATATATGGATAGATAGATAGATAAAAGCTTACCATTTGGATATTTCTTCTTCGATACGTGGATGACGTAATGAATATGGAGAAGCTGATCTATTTTTTCTTCTATTTAACTTTGGCATAATAGATGAATTTTCCGTATTCCGCATACTTTGATTAGATTGTACTGATAGTCTGCGACTTCGTAAGCCAAGAGGACAAGTCTTTCCAAGTAGTATAGATGAATTATTAGATGATGAATGAATTTCAGATATTTGTTTCACCTGTATGTTTTTAATATAGAAATAAAAGACGTAGATGGATTAATAAATATATTTAATGATAAAGTAACAAAAGAGACCGGTGACTTATTAATTGACACTCAAAAAATAAATCGAGGCATGACGTTATGTTCTTTGGAAATAGTTCTTTATTTCATGTAGTAGGAAAGTAAAATACAGAAATCACACTGCTCATGATAGTTTACAATTAGAAAAAGAATTTCATTAACAATTTTGGACGATGTGTGATATATTATAATAATGGCTTTATTAAATACAAAACATTTAGCTACAACTAAGAATTCTCAGCACGAGACATTCAATTTTATAAGAAATACCGCCCGCTCTCTACTGACATTCATATACTTGTGAATATTCAAATAAACAGATCAAAATCTTTTTAATGGTTTTCAGCAGTCACTTAACCTCCCATCAAAATCTTTTATCTTACAATATATTTATTACAGAAATTACAATGTGGTATTCTGCAGTCTCTTTAAAGAATAAACAAGAAGGTAAAAATACTAAAGTGGTGTGGGTTACAAATATCCACATAAGTAATATGTAACGAAGGTCAGGCATTGAATATATTTCAGTAGAAGATAGATAAGGAAAGAACGGGAAAGAAACGCAATCGGTATGAAAATGCATGAACAATAATAATTGGAGACGATGGACTGTTGTTTACAGATTGAGGCAATTGAATGATAGTTTGCAAATGAACTAATTATTATATGGTTCTCATATTTTACTGAGATATTCTGTAATTTTGTGCCAAAATATATTCCATTGCCCCACTTGTCTTCTTATTCACTACACTAATACTTTTGATCATTCTGGATGGATCTATGAAAACTTAACTCTACAATAGGATTGCAGACTTTTCAAAAGAATATGTGAGTACATTCGATAGTTAATACACATAAAAAACAAATGTAAAACAGAGAATTACGTTGTAATATCCCCTCGGCTAGTAAAAAAAGGATATTAGAGGTTTGAACTAGCTTATTCGAATTAAGCAAGAATCAAATTTCAATCGGTAAGGATTGCATCTTCCAAATTTATGTGTAATCTTTATTATATTTACTCACATGCAACCATAAATACAAACACATACATTAAAACCAAACTAACCAAATGAAAAACGTTTAAATTTAGTCAAATCTTTACCAAATTAAAGAATGCCTTATAAAATAATAGAGATACAAACATGTGTATGAACGGGATTACAATTATTTCAATAATTTGTGCAAGTAAACGTACTTACGTCCGAAAATAAAGTAGGCAAATTATTTGAACAATTAACTATGAAGAATCAAAGCTGTCATGAATACATTTTCATCGATACCTAACACAAGATTCAGCAAATAAATTAACTGAACAACATCAGTATATGGAAAAAACGGAATTACAAAGTGAAAGGAAAAGCCAATCGAAAAGTAAAAAGAAGTTAAAATACATACATCAATAGAATCTGTTGACGGACAATCTTTTAAATCTGAATCTCGTATCAGTTTACCCTCAGATTGACTGTTGCCATGATCAAACTTGAAAAGCTCACCATTGAGATCAACAGTAGATACACCATTCTGACGAATTTCTGATGAATCGGTGGTAACTTCGTCTGCCGAACAACACTTTTCCGCGTAACATACCTGAATGTAAAACAAGCAGGAGACTTTAAACATATAATACCATAGAAATTGAAAAACTACTGAAAAGACAAGCAGGTTTATAATTACCTTTCACTAACGCTCCGTTAAAAAACGTACCAAACCAAGTTACCTTACCGTATTAGAAAAGTCCTCATAGGATTTTAACAGTTGACGTAAGCAGTTCTAGCAAATACACCGAATACTTCCAACTAAGTCTATGATGTCTTCGTTGTTGCAAGTTCTCCAGAAGAACTATATACCCCAGATCTGTTCATTCCACAACATATGCAAACCCGTGAATTACACCTTGGATTAGAAGTATGTCCACTCTGTTTACGTTTAATTAAGTATCTAGGCTTTTGTCACCGATTTGAACCGAAAAACATTACAATCATGGAAAAATGAAGGTATTTCAAAAAAATACCTTGTGCTCGTTCTTGAGTCTAATTAGTAATTACTTAGTATTTTAAAAATTTATGAATAAATGCATTGTTAAATCAACATCCGTTGGGACTGATCAACATATTGGTACAATGTTTTACAGAATTGAAAGCTACTTTAAAGTATATTGACAAAATAAAATCCAAAGATTTCAATAATTGTTTAAAGCAATGCACTTGCTTGTGGTGTAGAGGTAGCGATCCTACTTAAACTCCGAAGTGCCGCAGAAAGGCAGTCACACACGCAAGTAGACCATAAACTTTAATGGAAACGATGAGTGGAAATCGAAGATTTAATACCACTGCTTATCACACCAGAATGCTTTAACAAATTAATATATGAGAAACACTTCACTTTGCCATCGAAGCGAAAACCACTCGAAGCAGTTTTCAGGTTGAATTTCGAAATCTTGGTACATTTAGCCAAATGTCTGCACTAACATGGAACAGTCATTACGAAGCAAAACTGAAAAGACAATATGTTGTGCCATAAACTCCATTAGTTCCAACAAAATTTCCAGTAGTAACTACCTTACAACAAACGAAGGCAGTTACTCTCAACGTCTCCGAAGACCGTGCAAACCACAGCACCGACAATGCAGTGTAGAGCACTCCGATTAACAAAAGAATGAGAACGCTATATACAAAGGCAAATGACTAAGAGTTATGCATTAAATTTAGTAAAATAGCTATTAGTGCTTCAAGATGAACCTCAATAGCTATTTGAATGACAGTTTCTTTACACCATAGAACGCGGAATGACAAGATGTAATGTTGCCACAACAGCAAAAACAATCACTGCTCTCACTTTATTCAGGACGTACATTTCTGGCACGGTATTTTGTGTGTACTATTCACATCCAAAAATAGATTCGACTACACGGATAATAATATCAAGACGGTTGGATGATTATTTACCCACTCTATTTTTAAAACAGTCGTGTCAGGCAAGGAATCACAAGTTCACAATATGATTATTATCCCAATTCGCTATCGAAAAGCCGATAACCAGGTTCATTCATCAGTAAAGTTCAGTGGATAAATCAAACAATCCCTGAACACATTCACACTGACACATCCTATTAGTCTCAAATAATTTATCAGAGGCATTTCAACTGACAAGAACACCCACCACAAAAAGGTGTATACCAAATTAGACCCCGAGTCTACATCCGGAACTATAAATCGGAAAATGAAAAATGAAGAGGTCAAATTGTAAGACAAACAGAAACATTTCACTTTATAATACGTTTTACTCGCAAACCAGGAAGGTCTTCAGGATAAGCGATGAATATCACATTAAGCATATTTACGAGAATAGTATTTTACTTAAAAAAAATTAGAGAATGGAGAGCATAAAATATGAATTATGTATGGGTTCGCAAACCTTAACTATAGCGAAAACAACATGAAGTATTATTTACGAAATTCTATACTTATAAGATTGCGAAGTATGAATAAACTGCCAAAACAATTTAACACCTGATTGTTAAAATAGACGATCATCAAAATTTACAACAATAAATTAAATCATATAGTCAACTAAATATGAAACATTCAAAAAACAATAACAACTACCTCACCTCACCAACTACCTCCCCAATATTCTCATTCTCAACAACATTAGAATCCAACGTCATCGACTCTGAACATTCTTTCCATGTCAAATTCGATACCATCTCATTATCCATGCATCCACCACCATTCAAACACTCCCCTGATCTCCTCATACCAGAGTTATCATTCTTCACATAATCTCTTCTCTTACGAGTCCTAATTAGATCCACCTAAAAACATTCATCGATAAAAAAAAGTTTAGCCTTACAGACAACTTAACCACGAACATATTCACAAAATGCTCATGTTGAACATTCCAAAACACAAAACTCTTCACCACTTACTCCTTCCTCTCCTCCAAACTCCCTCCCTCACACACTCTCCCATACACTCACCACGATCAAACAACAATGCTACTACAACCATTTCATGGTCATCACCAAACATGAACAACATCAAACTCATTCAATCTAAACACTCCTTACTTATTTACCTTGTGGTTCGATTGACGTGCATGACGTAAAAGTGACGTTCTATGGCGATAGCTCAATGAACACATGTCACATTTGAAGACAGTTGCAGTTAGATTTTCATTTGAAGCATCTTGTTCACTCGATGTTGTTGTTGTCGTCGTCGTCATTGTTGTTGTTGTTATTCCTCCTGATGTCTCCAGTTCACTCGTCCATGGAGACATCGACTTCTTCTGTTCATCCTACACAAGTGAGGAATAGTTATAACGCAATAACAGCTGTCATTATAAGAAAAACTTAACACACTTTTCATACTGTATCTAATTCCCCAACAAACAAACACACACGCAAATTCAAAATAAATACTTACTTCAATGGAGTTGTTATGGTGACATTCAGTCGAAACCAAACGTTCATTTGTACAATCATGTTGTGAGTCTTCTGAATTTGCTAAGGCAGTTACATTCTTGTCTAACGTAGAAAGACCATGAGGATCCAGTGATTTCTCACCTGAATTCATTGCAGTTTCATTGTTGTCTGTATCGCCATATGAATGTTGGTGATCAACCTGAATATGTGTTGAATAAATTGTAAAAATTAGAATGAATCAAACTAAGAAAACTACAGATGACTGGTTTAGATGGACGGAACATTCAGTGTCACATAACGACGATAAATGTTCAACCCCGTGTCTGACTATTTTATTGATAAGTCGAAACATAATCAGTAGGTTTAGGATGTAAGTTAATTACGCTAGCCTTGCAGAATGAAAAAGGTGAGACTGAATTTTAAAAAATAAACTCTCTACAGATCATCACTGTTTTTTACAAAATTTCATTATAGGAATGGAGTTTAAAACCAATAATCTTGATATATTGGAAAATGATTATAATTGGAAAAGAGGAATGGTATTCGACATTATTTTGTTCATACGCAGAACAACCGTTTATTATTAGGAGTCTAACAAACAGTGGAACGAAGTAACATTTAACAAAAGTTAACGATGATGTATAATGGTTAGCAGTGGAATCCAGGACGCGCGTTTCGTTCTATTTGGGAGTCGTCAGCTGGATGTACCTGCATCTCAGAGTTGATGTTCACTCTGGGATTCAAACCCAGTACCTTTCGCTTCAAACGCCATCGCGTTATCCACTCGACCACTGAGTCCTGATAGCCACTTGCTTGTGCAATGGGATGAAGTTTAAATTCACTTAGTATTGTTTGTTTGAATCTTCCCATTGATTTTTAGGACTGCAGCTGGTCAGTCTCTAATTGGCGCATGTGTCCTAAAACATCAATGGGAAGATTCAAACAAACAATACTAAGTGAATTTAAACTTCATCCCATTGCACAAGCAAGTGGCTATCAGGACTCAGTGGTCGAGTGGATAACGCGATGGCGTTTGAAGCGAAAGGTACTGGGTTTGAATCCCAGAGTGAACATCAACTCTGAGATGCAGGTACATCCAGCTGACGACTCCCAAATAGAACGAAACGCGCGTCCTGGATTTTACTGCCAGCCACCACCCATCTTTGCTTACAATGCTTGTGAATTAAGGCTATATCAAGGCAATACGCACAGTATGCACATACGCCAATTAAAGACTGACCAGTTGCAGTCCTAAACAACAATGGGAAGATTCAAACAAACAATGCTAAGTGAATTTAAATGTTAACGATGTCTATTTATTTATTTATGATATAGTGAACGAGAACTCAGGTGGGGAAGACCAATTTATTGCTTAATACAAAATTACAGAGTACTTTCCTAAAGTATGAAAACCATACATTAAATATATGATTTTCACACCTATCAGTTGTCCTTTACGTGCTTCCTGATTCTTTCAAATCTCTTGTTATTACAATTAATTTCTGTTTCCCCTTCTTTTCTCTTCAACTGGATCTTCTCAATCTTTTGCTGGCATGCATTCCACTTCCGATAGGTGCTACATACTACTTATATTTGTCAACATAAGTAGCATACACCACAATGACATAAAATGATTTTTATAAGTAAGAAACAATAAATCCGTCACACAAAGTGAAGTGGCAGTGCAGTGTATAACCAAAGTAAGGTCATATGAGAATAAAAAGATCAAGAATTAAAGTTTATAGACCAACAAAAGATATAATTACAGTTTACTGTTTATGATAAACTCAAAAAGAGTAACGTCAGATGGAGCGGTACACATTATTTCTATGAATCATGTCTCACAAAGCCCCAAACCACTTACTTCGAATTCATTTTAAAAGTAGTGATACATTAATTATGCCTAACCTATTATGTCTATCATCAATTAAGTATCATTATATTGTTGGTTGACTTTCTTTCTGTTTTCTTTGACAAGTCTAGGCTCCAGTACATAATACTCCCATATGGAAACCACAAGGGCATGTATAATACGTGTTCACATCAGGGAAACTATTGTTTCTGAATGGCGTCACTGAATGAATGATGACCTTCGTTAAGACTAAACGCATGTTATGAAAATCAAGAAAACAGATGAAATGTATGTAGTAAAAAAGTGGGCCAGTTTGAATACCCACTTACAAAACAATTTAATCTAATGGAGATTCTTGTAACTTCATATCAGATAGCATCAGTTCCCTCAAGATTACGGGTACACTTGCTGATGAGTGTCAAGTAGCATGAAACCCAGGGCTAGAGTTTCCTGTTGACTACCTCCAACCACCATCTTATATCAACATAGTGCACGCAATTCGAGTCACCTAGACTGGTGGCCACATTGCAACCTGATCAATAGAATTCGATCTGCACGAAGAAGGACCTGACATACATGACATTGATCACCACCCAGTGATCAATCAACTGTAAGATAGCTTTGTGAACAGCATCCACCAGCTCTACAACAACTAACAATATGGTTAACAGTATTGGTTAATTGACATTTGACTTATTCGCAAACATCATCATTATGGTGTTGTAGTTATGAAGACCTGTTTGAAACTGATTTCAACAACCAGGAAAATAGTTGGATTTTTCCTTAACTTTCCAAGTGAACTGGACCCAGCATGGCTCAACAAGTACAATAAACTCATATATATAACAAAACCCATGCGATTTCTACTTCGTAGCACCCATACAGATACGCTGAACAATGATTACTAAAGAACCAATGGTATTGCTGTCTAAAGCTAGTAGTGAAAGAGGATGATTTTATGATATGTTGAAGTAGTATTGAGCTTGAACAACATGTCTCATATGTAACCTCTAATCTGCTAGGTTCATTGACACAAGTTAGCGCTGGATACATTGTTTGAACCAGAACTATAAATTTACTAGCAATGATATAACAAGTTATCAGGCCAGAAACATAATCAGTTAAGTCCACAGGCCAAAACTATAAATTTATTTGATCACTTTTTCATGGCAATATCTCAGACTCATGTTTCATCCTATAGAAATGTATAATTTTGTCTACAAGTCTTGAAACATATTGGTGGCATACGTAATTCTCCTGTTTATTGCACATATATTGTAGCCAATTTTCGCCAACTACAGAGTATTATTAAGACGTTTCATCTGAAAAGACCTGTATCTTACACTTCCGATAAAGAAATTAACATCAAGCCCCAAAACAACAACAACATTATCCACATGTCAGTATCATTGTGTTTCACTCAAACTTGGCTGATCCAGTTCTTATAATTACAAAGCCGAACAAATTAATAGGTATTTGTTCTGAATTCCTTACCAGTCTGAGAGGACGACGTTAGCTGCTACCTTGATGTGTTGGTCGGACTTGCCTATCGTGATGGCCCAACCGAGCTGTGTTGGCTGGAACGTATGTTCCTGTAGGTCCTACCATGCCTGGCAGGTCGATTGGAGAACTCTAAGACTAAAAGCAGCAACTCAAGATCTGAGGGCGAAGTCGTACTGCTGACTGCAGAGGGGTGTGACACCAGTAAGGTGTTTCCTCTAAACAACCAGCATCTGCAGCGTTGCTGCCTTCTCACAAGGAAGGAAGGGATTAGAAAAGGCCGACTCTAAAAATGTCACGCCTCACCTTACCTCACGGATTTCCGTCTCTGGCAATAAGCCCCTTTGAAGAACGGAGCTAACACAAGAAGGCCGTGCGTGACTGGCCTCAAGAAGTTGTCCTCTGGACTCTGCAGTCACGCTCCCAGGTCGTTAAGACCAACACTAATCCAACTTCCTTTTCAGGTCCCTCAAGAAATACCCTTCCACGGTGTGGGCAGCCGGGAAGTGATATTAGCCCTCATACCCGCAACATCACACGAGACCAAGTTGGTCACATTCAAGTCCTTCCTACACCGCCTAATAACTCTCTCATCTCCACGACTAACCTTTCTCACGTCCTTTTATCACCTTGCACCGCTAGGGCAAACGATTCGTGTACGCGGAACGTTGTTCTCAGCTTCCCGAAACCACGCTCTAAACTACATGTAGGAACTTTTAACGTCCGAATATTGTGCCGAATAGGACAACAGGCTTCCTTAGCAAGGACTTTAAAATCTCGCACCATCGATGTCTGTTGCGTCTCCAAAACGCGCACACAGGATCCGAGTAGCGTCATTCATTTGACCTCACCATTTCATAATAAAGAATCAACCTCATTCACGCTTCGTGTATCTGGAAGCCTTGATGCTGCTTCCCGTGCCCTCGCTGGCGTAGTTATAGCATTAAGTCATAGGACAGAACTAGCTCTTTCAGACTGGATTTCAGTAGACAGTCGTCTGTGCGCTGTCATACTAAACGCAACTGTAAGGACTCGGAAAGATAGGGACAATCGTCGTTGCCTCTTCGTCGTCTCTGCCTACTCTCCCACTGACTGTAGCTCGGATGATGTAAAAGATGAGTTTCACAGAAAGCTAACCGACCTTTTCCGGAAAACTAGGCGCCCTGATGTAGTAATAGTGGCTGGTGCCTTTAACGCTCAAGTAAGTAAACTAAGCGATAAGGAAATACACCTGGATGGATCTTATGGTTTCGTGGCTCAGAGGACAGATAATGGCGACCGTCTGTTGCAGCTATGCCCAGATAACCACCTGTTTCTTGCAAATACTAACTTTAAGCACAAGGAAAAACATATTTTGACATGGCGACCCCCGAATTCGTCCCAACGTTGGACCCAACTAGATCACATCGCTACCAGCCACCGATGGAGGGGCTGGATAGAAGACTCGCTCATTCTGGAGCACATGTTTAGATTCAGATCATGCTCTAGTGCGAGCACGTATCTGTCTGCGTCTTGCTGGACGTAAGAAAGACACTGCAAGGAAACCTCTTAGGGTTCTACTTAATGATAGGGAAGCTAAGAGTACATTTCAGGAACAACTAGAAAATGTTGGGCAGCCATGGAAGTTGTGCCTACCCCGAGGCAGCGTGGAATGACATCCGAAAGCTGTGGAAACAGCAGTGATATCTGCTAGTACGGTAAACCATAAGGTTAGGGAGAAACACCGGATCTCAGTAGCATCTACCGCACTGATAGATGCTCGGAAACTCATCCCTCCTGGCTCTGAACATAACGAAGAGCGGAGTCAACCTAAGCGCAGGCTAATAAGAAGCCTACGCAATGATCGCTAACAGTGGTGGGTAGCGAAAGCAAGAGAAATGGAAAATGCAGTGGCAATAGGCAACAGCAGACAACTATTCAGACTTGTTAAAGAAACCGGTATTAGAAACCCAACTGTCAGCGAAACTATCTCAGATAAAGATGGACATATCATTCATTATCAATCCAGGAGATTGGATCGATGGGCAGAACACTTTAGGGATCAGTTCAACTGGCCTTCAGCCACGCTTCGGTTTCCCATGATCCCCAGTCGTCCTGAATGGCAAGCTAATGTAAATCCTCCAACTCTCTACGAGGTTGAAAAAGCTATAGGAAATCTGAAGCGAGGGAGAGCAGCGGGCCCTGACAAGTTTACCCCCGAGATTTTTAAGGATGAAGGTCCAGTACTAGCAGCGAAGTTGACTGAGGTATTAGGTAGAACCTCGGAACTAGACGTAATTCCATCTGACTGGCCCCAATCACTGAATGTACCCGAGATCTGTTCATTCCACAACATATGCAAACCCGTGAATTACACCTTGGATTAGAAGTATGTCCACTCTGTTTACGTTTAATTAAGTATCTAGGCTTTTGTCACCGATTTGAACCGAAAAACATTACAATCATGGAAAAATGAAGGTATTTCAAAAAAATACCTTGTGCTCGTTCTTGAGTCTAATTAGTAATTACTTAGTATTTTAAAAATTTATGAATAAATGCATTGTTAAATCAACATCCGTTGGGACTGATCAACATATTGGTACAATGTTTTACAGAATTGAAAGCTATTTTAAAGTATATTGACAAAATAAAATCCAAAGATTTCAATAATTGTTTAAAGCAATGCACTTGCTTGTGGTGTAGAGGTAGCGATCCTACTTAAACTCCGAAGTGCCGCAGAAAGGCAGTCACACACGCAAGTAGACCATAAACTTTAATGGAAACGATGAGTGGAAATCGAAGATTTAATACCACTGCTTATCACACCAGAATGCTTTAACAAATTAATATATGAGAAACACTTCACTTTGCCATCGAAGCGAAAACCACTCGAAGCAGTTTTCAGGTTGAATTTCGAAATCTTGGTACATTTAGCCAAATGTCTGCACTAACATGGAACAGTCATTACGAAGCAAAACTGAAAAGACAATATGTTGTGCCATAAACTCCATTAGTTCCAACAAAATTTCCAGTAGTAACTACCTTACAACAAACGAAGGCAGTTACTCTCAACGTCTCCGAAGACCGTGCAAACCACAGCACCGACAATGCAGTGTAGAGCACTCCGATTAACAAAAGAATGAGAACGCTATATACAAAGGCAAATGACTAAGAGTTATGCATTAAATTTAGTAAAATAGCTATTAGTGCTTCAAGATGAACCTCAATAGCTATTTGAATGACAGTTTCTTTACACCATAGAACGCGGAATGACAAGATGTAATGTTGCCACAACAGCAAAAACAATCACTGCTCTCACTTTATTCAGGACGTACATTTCTGGCACGGTATTTTGTGTGTACTATTCACATCCAAAAATAGATTCGACTACACGGATAATAATATCAAGACGGTTGGATGATTATTTACCCACTCTATTTTTAAAACAGTCGTGTCAGGCAAGGAATCACAAGTTCACAATATGATTATTATCCCAATTCGCTATCGAAAAGCCGATAACCAGGTTCATTCATCAGTAAAGTTCAGTGGATAAATCAAACAATCCCTGAACACATTCACACTGACACATCCTATTAGTCTCAAATAATTTATCAGAGGCATTTCAACTGACAAGAACACCCACCACAAAAAGGTGTATACCAAATTAGACCCCGAGTCTACATCCGGAACTATAAATCGGAAAATGAAAAATGAAGAGGTCAAATTGTAAGACAAACAGAAACATTTCACTTTATAATACGTTTTACTCGCAAACCAGGAAGGTCTTCAGGATAAGCGATGAATATCACATTAAGCATATTTACGAGAATAGTATTTTACTTAAAAAAAATTAGAGAATGGAGAGCATAAAATATGAATTATGTATGGGTTCGCAAACCTTAACTATAGCGAAAACAACATGAAGTATTATTTACGAAATTCTATACTTATAAGATTGCGAAGTATGAATAAACTGCCAAAACAATTTAACACCTGATTGTTAAAATAGACGATCATCAAAATTTACAACAATAAATTAAATCATATAGTCAACTAAATATGAAACATTCAAAAAACAATAACAACTACCTCACCTCACCAACTACCTCCCCAATATTCTCATTCTCAACAACATTAGAATCCAACGTCATCGACTCTGAACATTCTTTCCATGTCAAATTCGATACCATCTCATTATCCATGCATCCACCACCATTCAAACACTCCCCTGATCTCCTCATACCAGAGTTATCATTCTTCACATAATCTCTTCTCTTACGAGTCCTAATTAGATCCACCTAAAAACATTCATCGATAAAAAAAAGTTTAGCCTTACAGACAACTTAACCACGAACATATTCACAAAATGCTCATGTTGAACATTCCAAAACACAAAACTCTTCACCACTTACTCCTTCCTCTCCTCCAAACTCCCTCCCTCACACACTCTCCCATACACTCACCACGATCAAACAACAATGCTACTACAACCATTTCATGGTCATCACCAAACATGAACAACATCAAACTCATTCAATCTAAACACTCCTTACTTATTTACCTTGTGGTTCGATTGACGTGCATGACGTAAAAGTGACGTTCTATGGCGATAGCTCAATGAACACATGTCACATTTGAAGACAGTTGCAGTTAGATTTTCATTTGAAGCATCTTGTTCACTCGATGTTGTTGTTGTCGTCGTCGTCATTGTTGTTGTTGTTATTCCTCCTGATGTCTCCAGTTCACTCGTCCATGGAGACATCGACTTCTTCTGTTCATCCTACACAAGTGAGGAATAGTTATAACGCAATAACAGCTGTCATTATAAGAAAAACTTAACACACTTTTCATACTGTATCTAATTCCCCAACAAACAAACACACACGCAAATTCAAAATAAATACTTACTTCAATGGAGTTGTTATGGTGACATTCAGTCGAAACCAAACGTTCATTTGTACAATCATGTTGTGAGTCTTCTGAATTTGCTAAGGCAGTTACATTCTTGTCTAACGTAGAAAGACCATGAGGATCCAGTGATTTCTCACCTGAATTCATTGCAGTTTCATTGTTGTCTGTATCGCCATATGAATGTTGGTGATCAACCTGAATATGTGTTGAATAAATTGTAAAAATTAGAATGAATCAAACTAAGAAAACTACAGATGACTGGTTTAGATGGACGGAACATTCAGTGTCACATAACGACGATAAATGTTCAACCCCGTGTCTGACTATTTTATTGATAAGTCGAAACATAATCAGTAGGTTTAGGATGTAAGTTAATTACGCTAGCCTTGCAGAATGAAAAAGGTGAGACTGAATTTTAAAAAATAAACTCTCTACAGATCATCACTGTTTTTTACAAAATTTCATTATAGGAATGGAGTTTAAAACCAATAATCTTGATATATTGGAAAATGATTATAATTGGAAAAGAGGAATGGTATTCGACATTATTTTGTTCATACGCAGAACAACCGTTTATTATTAGGAGTCTAACAAACAGTGGAACGAAGTAACATTTAACAAAAGTTAACGATGATGTATAATGGTTAGCAGTGGAATCCAGGACGCGCGTTTCGTTCTATTTGGGAGTCGTCAGCTGGATGTACCTGCATCTCAGAGTTGATGTTCACTCTGGGATTCAAACCCAGTACCTTTCGCTTCAAACGCCATCGCGTTATCCACTCGACCACTGAGTCCTGATAGCCACTTGCTTGTGCAATGGGATGAAGTTTAAATTCACTTAGTATTGTTTGTTTGAATCTTCCCATTGATTTTTAGGACTGCAGCTGGTCAGTCTCTAATTGGCGCATGTGTCCTAAAACATCAATGGGAAGATTCAAACAAACAATACTAAGTGAATTTAAACTTCATCCCATTGCACAAGCAAGTGGCTATCAGGACTCAGTGGTCGAGTGGATAACGCGATGGCGTTTGAAGCGAAAGGTACTGGGTTTGAATCCCAGAGTGAACATCAACTCTGAGATGCAGGTACATCCAGCTGACGACTCCCAAATAGAACGAAACGCGCGTCCTGGATTTTACTGCCAGCCACCACCCATCTTTGCTTACAATGCTTGTGAATTAAGGCTATATCAAGGCAATACGCACAGTATGCACATACGCCAATTAAAGACTGACCAGTTGCAGTCCTAAACAACAATGGGAAGATTCAAACAAACAATGCTAAGTGAATTTAAATGTTAACGATGTCTATTTATTTATTTATGATATAGTGAACGAGAACTCAGGTGGGGAAGACCAATTTATTGCTTAATACAAAATTACAGAGTACTTTCCTAAAGTATGAAAACCATACATTAAATATATGATTTTCACACCTATCAGTTGTCCTTTACGTGCTTCCTGATTCTTTCAAATCTCTTGTTATTACAATTAATTTCTGTTTCCCCTTCTTTTCTCTTCAACTGGATCTTCTCAATCTTTTGCTGGCATGCATTCCACTTCCGATAGGTGCTACATACTACTTATATTTGTCAACATAAGTAGCATACACCACAATGACATAAAATGATTTTTATAAGTAAGAAACAATAAATCCGTCACACAAAGTGAAGTGGCAGTGCAGTGTATAACCAAAGTAAGGTCATATGAGAATAAAAAGATCAAGAATTAAAGTTTATAGACCAACAAAAGATATAATTACAGTTTACTGTTTATGATAAACTCAAAAAGAGTAACGTCAGATGGAGCGGTACACATTATTTCTATGAATCATGTCTCACAAAGCCCCAAACCACTTACTTCGAATTCATTTTAAAAGTAGTGATACATTAATTATGCCTAACCTATTATGTCTATCATCAATTAAGTATCATTATATTGTTGGTTGACTTTCTTTCTGTTTTCTTTGACAAGTCTAGGCTCCAGTACATAATACTCCCATATGGAAACCACAAGGGCATGTATAATACGTGTTCACATCAGGGAAACTATTGTTTCTGAATGGCGTCACTGAATGAATGATGACCTTCGTTAAGACTAAACGCATGTTATGAAAATCAAGAAAACAGATGAAATGTATGTAGTAAAAAAGTGGGCCAGTTTGAATACCCACTTACAAAACAATTTAATCTAATGGAGATTCTTGTAACTTCATATCAGATAGCATCAGTTCCCTCAAGATTACGGGTACACTTGCTGATGAGTGTCAAGTAGCATGAAACCCAGGGCTAGAGTTTCCTGTTGACTACCTCCAACCACCATCTTATATCAACATAGTGCACGCAATTCGAGTCACCTAGACTGGTGGCCACATTGCAACCTGATCAATAGAATTCGATCTGCACGAAGAAGGACCTGACATACATGACATTGATCACCACCCAGTGATCAATCAACTGTAAGATAGCTTTGTGAACAGCATCCACCAGCTCTACAACAACTAACAATATGGTTAACAGTATTGGTTAATTGACATTTGACTTATTCGCAAACATCATCATTATGGTGTTGTAGTTATGAAGACCTGTTTGAAACTGATTTCAACAACCAGGAAAATAGTTGGATTTTTCCTTAACTTTCCAAGTGAACTGGACCCAGCATGGCTCAACAAGTACAATAAACTCATATATATAACAAAACCCATGCGATTTCTACTTCGTAGCACCCATACAGATACGCTGAACAATGATTACTAAAGAACCAATGGTATTGCTGTCTAAAGCTAGTAGTGAAAGAGGATGATTTTATGATATGTTGAAGTAGTATTGAGCTTGAACAACATGTCTCATATGTAACCTCTAATCTGCTAGGTTCATTGACACAAGTTAGCGCTGGATACATTGTTTGAACCAGAACTATAAATTTACTAGCAATGATATAACAAGTTATCAGGCCAGAAACATAATCAGTTAAGTCCACAGGCCAAAACTATAAATTTATTTGATCACTTTTTCATGGCAATATCTCAGACTCATGTTTCATCCTATAGAAATGTATAATTTTGTCTACAAGTCTTGAAACATATTGGTGGCATACGTAATTCTCCTGTTTATTGCACATATATTGTAGCCAATTTTCGCCAACTACAGAGTATTATTAAGACGTTTCATCTGAAAAGACCTGTATCTTACACTTCCGATAAAGAAATTAACATCAAGCCCCAAAACAACAACAACATTATCCACATGTCAGTATCATTGTGTTTCACTCAAACTTGGCTGATCCAGTTCTTATAATTACAAAGCCGAACAAATTAATAGGTATTTGTTCTGAATTCCTTACCAGTCTGAGAGGACGACGTTAGCTGCTACCTTGATGTGTTGGTCGGACTTGCCTATCGTGATGGCCCAACCGAGCTGTGTTGGCTGGAACGTATGTTCCTGTAGGTCCTACCATGCCTGGCAGGTCGATTGGAGAACTCTAAGACTAAAAGCAGCAACTCAAGATCTGAGGGCGAAGTCGTACTGCTGACTGCAGAGGGGTGTGACACCAGTAAGGTGTTTCCTCTAAACAACCAGCATCTGCAGCGTTGCTGCCTTCTCACAAGGAAGGAAGGGATTAGAAAAGGCCGACTCTAAAAATGTCACGCCTCACCTTACCTCACGGATTTCCGTCTCTGGCAATAAGCCCCTTTGAAGAACGGAGCTAACACAAGAAGGCCGTGCGTGACTGGCCTCAAGAAGTTGTCCTCTGGACTCTGCAGTCACGCTCCCAGGTCGTTAAGACCAACACTAATCCAACTTCCTTTTCAGGTCCCTCAAGAAATACCCTTCCACGGTGTGGGCAGCCGGGAAGTGATATTAGCCCTCATACCCGCAACATCACACGAGACCAAGTTGGTCACATTCAAGTCCTTCCTACACCGCCTAATAACTCTCTCATCTCCACGACTAACCTTTCTCACGTCCTTTTATCACCTTGCACCGCTAGGGCAAACGATTCGTGTACGCGGAACGTTGTTCTCAGCTTCCCGAAACCACGCTCTAAACTACATGTAGGAACTTTTAACGTCCGAATATTGTGCCGAATAGGACAACAGGCTTCCTTAGCAAGGACTTTAAAATCTCGCACCATCGATGTCTGTTGCGTCTCCAAAACGCGCACACAGGATCCGAGTAGCGTCATTCATTTGACCTCACCATTTCATAATAAAGAATCAACCTCATTCACGCTTCGTGTATCTGGAAGCCTTGATGCTGCTTCCCGTGCCCTCGCTGGCGTAGTTATAGCATTAAGTCATAGGACAGAACTAGCTCTTTCAGACTGGATTTCAGTAGACAGTCGTCTGTGCGCTGTCATACTAAACGCAACTGTAAGGACTCGGAAAGATAGGGACAATCGTCGTTGCCTCTTCGTCGTCTCTGCCTACTCTCCCACTGACTGTAGCTCGGATGATGTAAAAGATGAGTTTCACAGAAAGCTAACCGACCTTTTCCGGAAAACTAGGCGCCCTGATGTAGTAATAGTGGCTGGTGCCTTTAACGCTCAAGTAAGTAAACTAAGCGATAAGGAAATACACCTGGATGGATCTTATGGTTTCGTGGCTCAGAGGACAGATAATGGCGACCGTCTGTTGCAGCTATGCCCAGATAACCACCTGTTTCTTGCAAATACTAACTTTAAGCACAAGGAAAAACATATTTTGACATGGCGACCCCCGAATTCGTCCCAACGTTGGACCCAACTAGATCACATCGCTACCAGCCACCGATGGAGGGGCTGGATAGAAGACTCGCTCATTCTGGAGCACATGTTTAGATTCAGATCATGCTCTAGTGCGAGCACGTATCTGTCTGCGTCTTGCTGGACGTAAGAAAGACACTGCAAGGAAACCTCTTAGGGTTCTACTTAATGATAGGGAAGCTAAGAGTACATTTCAGGAACAACTAGAAAATGTTGGGCAGCCATGGAAGTTGTGCCTACCCCGAGGCAGCGTGGAATGACATCCGAAAGCTGTGGAAACAGCAGTGATATCTGCTAGTACGGTAAACCATAAGGTTAGGGAGAAACACCGGATCTCAGTAGCATCTACCGCACTGATAGATGCTCGGAAACTCATCCCTCCTGGCTCTGAACATAACGAAGAGCGGAGTCAACCTAAGCGCAGGCTAATAAGAAGCCTACGCAATGATCGCTAACAGTGGTGGGTAGCGAAAGCAAGAGAAATGGAAAATGCAGTGGCAATAGGCAACAGCAGACAACTATTCAGACTTGTTAAAGAAACCGGTATTAGAAACCCAACTGTCAGCGAAACTATCTCAGATAAAGATGGACATATCATTCATTATCAATCCAGGAGATTGGATCGATGGGCAGAACACTTTAGGGATCAGTTCAACTGGCCTTCAGCCACGCTTCGGTTTCCCATGATCCCCAGTCGTCCTGAATGGCAAGCTAATGTAAATCCTCCAACTCTCTACGAGGTTGAAAAAGCTATAGGAAATCTGAAGCGAGGGAGAGCAGCGGGCCCTGACAAGTTTACCCCCGAGATTTTTAAGGATGAAGGTCCAGTACTAGCAGCGAAGTTGACTGAGGTATTAGGTAGAACCTCGGAACTAGACGTAATTCCATCTGACTGGCCCCAATCACTGAATGTACCCGAGATCTGTTCATTCCACAACATATGCAAACCCGTGAATTACACCTTGGATTAGAAGTATGTCCACTCTGTTTACGTTTAATTAAGTATCTAGGCTTTTGTCACCGATTTGAACCGAAAAACATTACAATCATGGAAAAATGAAGGTATTTCAAAAAAATACCTTGTGCTCGTTCTTGAGTCTAATTAGTAATTACTTAGTATTTTAAAAATTTATGAATAAATGCATTGTTAAATCAACATCCGTTGGGACTGATCAACATATTGGTACAATGTTTTACAGAATTGAAAGCTATTTTAAAGTATATTGACAAAATAAAATCCAAAGATTTCAATAATTGTTTAAAGCAATGCACTTGCTTGTGGTGTAGAGGTAGCGATCCTACTTAAACTCCGAAGTGCCGCAGAAAGGCAGTCACACACGCAAGTAGACCATAAACTTTAATGGAAACGATGAGTGGAAATCGAAGATTTAATACCACTGCTTATCACACCAGAATGCTTTAACAAATTAATATATGAGAAACACTTCACTTTGCCATCGAAGCGAAAACCACTCGAAGCAGTTTTCAGGTTGAATTTCGAAATCTTGGTACATTTAGCCAAATGTCTGCACTAACATGGAACAGTCATTACGAAGCAAAACTGAAAAGACAATATGTTGTGCCATAAACTCCATTAGTTCCAACAAAATTTCCAGTAGTAACTACCTTACAACAAACGAAGGCAGTTACTCTCAACGTCTCCGAAGACCGTGCAAACCACAGCACCGACAATGCAGTGTAGAGCACTCCGATTAACAAAAGAATGAGAACGCTATATACAAAGGCAAATGACTAAGAGTTATGCATTAAATTTAGTAAAATAGCTATTAGTGCTTCAAGATGAACCTCAATAGCTATTTGAATGACAGTTTCTTTACACCATAGAACGCGGAATGACAAGATGTAATGTTGCCACAACAGCAAAAACAATCACTGCTCTCACTTTATTCAGGACGTACATTTCTGGCACGGTATTTTGTGTGTACTATTCACATCCAAAAATAGATTCGACTACACGGATAATAATATCAAGACGGTTGGATGATTATTTACCCACTCTATTTTTAAAACAGTCGTGTCAGGCAAGGAATCACAAGTTCACAATATGATTATTATCCCAATTCGCTATCGAAAAGCCGATAACCAGGTTCATTCATCAGTAAAGTTCAGTGGATAAATCAAACAATCCCTGAACACATTCACACTGACACATCCTATTAGTCTCAAATAATTTATCAGAGGCATTTCAACTGACAAGAACACCCACCACAAAAAGGTGTATACCAAATTAGACCCCGAGTCTACATCCGGAACTATAAATCGGAAAATGAAAAATGAAGAGGTCAAATTGTAAGACAAACAGAAACATTTCACTTTATAATACGTTTTACTCGCAAACCAGGAAGGTCTTCAGGATAAGCGATGAATATCACATTAAGCATATTTACGAGAATAGTATTTTACTTAAAAAAAATTAGAGAATGGAGAGCATAAAATATGAATTATGTATGGGTTCGCAAACCTTAACTATAGCGAAAACAACATGAAGTATTATTTACGAAATTCTATACTTATAAGATTGCGAAGTATGAATAAACTGCCAAAACAATTTAACACCTGATTGTTAAAATAGACGATCATCAAAATTTACAACAATAAATTAAATCATATAGTCAACTAAATATGAAACATTCAAAAAACAATAACAACTACCTCACCTCACCAACTACCTCCCCAATATTCTCATTCTCAACAACATTAGAATCCAACGTCATCGACTCTGAACATTCTTTCCATGTCAAATTCGATACCATCTCATTATCCATGCATCCACCACCATTCAAACACTCCCCTGATCTCCTCATACCAGAGTTATCATTCTTCACATAATCTCTTCTCTTACGAGTCCTAATTAGATCCACCTAAAAACATTCATCGATAAAAAAAAGTTTAGCCTTACAGACAACTTAACCACGAACATATTCACAAAATGCTCATGTTGAACATTCCAAAACACAAAACTCTTCACCACTTACTCCTTCCTCTCCTCCAAACTCCCTCCCTCACACACTCTCCCATACACTCACCACGATCAAACAACAATGCTACTACAACCATTTCATGGTCATCACCAAACATGAACAACATCAAACTCATTCAATCTAAACACTCCTTACTTATTTACCTTGTGGTTCGATTGACGTGCATGACGTAAAAGTGACGTTCTATGGCGATAGCTCAATGAACACATGTCACATTTGAAGACAGTTGCAGTTAGATTTTCATTTGAAGCATCTTGTTCACTCGATGTTGTTGTTGTCGTCATCGTCATTGTTGTTGTTGTTATTCCTCCTGATGTCTCCAGTTCACTCGTCGATGGAGACATCGACTTCTTCTGTTCATCCTACACAAGTGAGGAATAGTTATAACGCAATAACAGCTGTCATTATAAGAAAAACTTAACACACTTTTCATACTGTATCTAATTCCCCAACAAACAAACACACACGCAAATTCAAAATAAATACTTACTTCAATGGAGTTGTTATGGTGACATTCAGTCGAAACCAAACGTTCATTTGTACAATCATGTTGTGAGTCTTCTGAATTTGCTAAGGCAGTTACATTCTTGTCTAACGTAGAAAGACCATGAGGATCCAGTGATTTCTCACCTGAATTCATTGCAGTTTCATTGTTGTCTGTATCGCCATATGAATGTTGGTGATCAACCTGAATATGTGTTGAATAAATTGTACAAGCAACAATCACTAAGTGGAATTTAAAGATAGCAAATAAAGTTCCATACTCAAAAATTCTCATAGATAAAAGGGAAACCATAACTGCCTGGTTCATTTTGGCTAAGTGCTTATGATAAATGGAAAACATGTATGTTCATTATTTTGTTACATTAGTTCTAAAAAATTTTACCTTCGAAGACTTATTTTGCAACAGAATAACGAGCCGTTTTCCTTCTTATACGATAAACAAATACCTTTACGAACGCAATCAGTTCAGAAATGTAATACGGAAGACGATTTTGCAGGGGATACCGTTACTTAAATAGCTTGTTTTACTTTAAATTTTGATTATGTATATAGATATAGAACTTCGATGGAAAGCAGAAACTGAGTTTAAGTACACGTCCAAGTTACTTGCTCCAAATTATACAGGAACATCCACCTCATTACATTTTAGGTAACATCGATTCCTTTTAAATGCCAACAAAGAAATCAACAAACTTGTAGACAGTTTAAAAGTCGTATGTAGACTTTCTTTGTGTTTTAATAGGTAGTGAAATTGTCCAGATATATCTAAGAATCGCAGCACCGCTCCTATTGTGTGTGATTCATATGTTTATGGTTTGCCTCTTATTCACCAGATTTTAATGCGAAAAAAAATATTGATAGGCTAATGAAATTAGATGTTAAATTTAAGATTTGTTAACGATTTTAACGGTTGGATGAATAAAGATTTTTATGAGCAGTCATTATAAGCACAGAGAATGTACATAATGTATAGTAAACTCGAAGAATTTGGCAGCCTTCTATGACGAAGTGAAGGTACAGTGAATGTATTAAGGAAGAAAATCACATTAACTTTATACAGGAGTTGTCCATACTTTAAAAGGTCAGCATTAAATGAGTACATAGCCTCAATACAGTTCTGTGACAATAAGTTAAAGTCTCATAACTCTTTCTATCGTTTACTTTACAAGGTAATAGAATGATAAATCAGGAACAGGTATTTTTGCGCTTGTAACAACAGATCATAAGAATAAAATAATTGACTTGGAGATAAATTCTCGTGAAAATCTCTTACCTTGTGGTTACATTTATGCCACTGAAGTGATTTCCGGAGCCGAAAAACTTTATGACAATGAGAACATTCGTGGCATGACTGAATAACATCCGGGCTCGACGCTGGAATTTGAACTTCACTACTAGTTACACAATTATCAGCATTTTGATGAGATATTAGAGGGGAAGAGATTTTTTTATCAATCTTAAGAAATAAAAGGAACCGAAATACATGGAAAATACAACTTTAGTGAAGGATGTTGAAATACAACTTTGAGCACTTTAATGCCAGAATGAGTTTAAAAAATTCCAGCAAAAGTTACATATATAGTGATATTTAAAAATAACTGCGGAAAGTAGATAGGAGTTGAAAACATATTAAGCGTCTAGATTAAATGACATTGTAAATAGTTGAATTAACGAACAGACATATCTACTAAGTAGTAAATCAAGATTAACCAATATTATATTATGTACTTCTTAGTGGTGACTCAAATTTAGTGATTACGTTTACAAATAAAAACTTAATCCAACTCTGGAAAGGATTTATTATAGTCCAAATGGCATACTTTGAATGGTTTTGAAGGATAAGGTAAGTGATGTAAGTTTCAAACTCAAAGAGATTATCGATTTTGAATTGGCATATTCGTCTAGCTCAAAAGTCCCATCAACAAAATTTAAGTTAGATGCGGCTTTGTACAGGTTTACTCAGAGAACAACATGACAAAGTAGTAGATAGGAATACAATGATACATGAAACCTGAGAAGACGACCAATCACAAACAAGGTTGCCAGCATGAAGGGATTTTGTATTTGTGAGAGAGGGAGAAACCTGTCGCATACATTTACAAATACTGAAGCATATAAATATATAACTACAATAGTGAAAACGAGATACAGTCAAAAATGCATACCTTATTACATTCAGTATTCAACATTCCACTTCTGAATAATTCTTTTCTTGAATTCTTCAACTGTGGTGTCATCTTGTGAGTAGGCGTAAACACAAAGTGAAATTTGCGTTTATTTCTCTGTACAGCATGCTTTGGTTTTGGGGTACTACGCTGTAAAATAAAAAATAACATACCCTTCGTTTTTATTATGAATTATAGCTGATCAAAAGAACCTATTGAGCGGAAAACACCAACAAAATTTCAACTGATATTGAACAACGTTACTACACAAATTCCACAATTATAGGCACACTGATTATAAAGTAGGTTATGTACATATGTCATAAATATCCATACGACTTACCGTACTTAGTGAAATCCTAGCCTTACAAGCGGCTATATGCCTAGAAAAGTTTGAACGATTATGGATCACACGATAGCAGAATGAACATGTATAAGGCCCACCGTAAGATGGTCTGTAATTTTGCCAAATATCTTCATCGGACTACAATAAAGAGATATAGGTGCTATAAAATAGACAGCTATCAAGTATAAACCAGATAAAGATATTAAAAAGGCAAACAACTTTACCCCTAGGTCTAAAACAAGAGTCCTCCAACTAAAACACATCTCTACATCAAAATAGCAACTTAAACGATCGTTACCTAGGAACGATTTCGCAGTGCCTATTGGTGAATAAGTATGGAAAGACTACTGAGAAAATTGCATGTAAGGGTTTAAATAAATGATATGAAGTACACATTTATTCGAAGGGATTAGTGACAAAATTATGTTGTTAAAAACATATTAAACGAGACATTCAAATCAGTGACAGAGCGGGTGATGGAGAAATACTTAAAATTACTTTGTCAAAATTAATCAAAGGCTATGATCTCTGATTAAAAACAACTATACTAGGAAAAGAATAAATATGTTACACTAACTATTTGACTTCAGTTGGTTAAATATTCCCAGTTGATATCAGACTAACCATGACCTGTCCACTAAAATTATCATCTCAATCTATTGATAGAACAATGACGTATGCCATTCAAGAACTTCCAAAAATAGAAGCAAACACCAATTTAGTGCTTAACTTTAAATAAGGTTTTTGCATAATTCTAGTGAGAAACACTTAGATAAATCTTGATTTCCGAATCTAAAATTTTAACTCATGCTGAAAAATAATATATCGTCTTAAGGTAAATAAAATGCATGTTATAAACTTACTTCATATGGTTTATTATTAGGAGATGAATTATTTCCTGAAAGTTTTGTAACTAAATGAGAATCAAATGTATTAGTAGTACAGGAATTACAATCTGTTCTTAACGAATCATCAGAATTAATAAGTGGATTAGTAGTGGTAGACAGAAAAGGAGTGATTGGATTGGATTTTAAGTCAATATCATGGTTCACCTTTGGATTACTCTATAAATAAAAACCAGAAAATAGGCTTGAGAAAATAAATAAATTACATATTTGTTAAAAACGAATTCTGCCAGATCAAAAATGTTACCTTGAAAACCTTGATGGTCAAGACAAAACAACTAATAAGTGTGATACCTAAGTAGTATGACTTGCTTCCACCTATCATCTGAAACCTTCTACACTTAATGTGAGAACGGTTAATCCAATGATCAACTAACTCTTAGCAATATAACTACTACAGATCAAAGAATAGTACATAAGATGTATATTAGTCATGAGCACTAATCCCTAACGACCTAGTAACGCTTAGAGTAAAACGTTCACTCTCCCTCTGGAAACGCTCTCATACTCCGATGTGTTTATAGCCTCTGCCAGAGAAGTTTTACTCACACCTCCACACAGTGAGGCTGTTTACTTTATGTCATAATTAGACAAATATCCTAGTAGTAAAAATCACTTTAGTGATTGAAAATAATCTTACTATATAACTCAACTACAAATAGAGCTCTTTTTTCGTACCAGTGTGCAAATGATCAGGTGTCTATAGTTTCCAACAAAGAATCCTTTTTCACTAGCTCCACTAGGCGATATCCTTTATGAGTTGAAAGACGAGAAGTCAACCTCCAGCGACTAAACCCAATTGATAGATACGGAAGGTTTACCTAGAAGTCGGAAAAATGTCGTTGCAAAACGGTGGTGTATATGGGCTCTAAAATCCTGACGAAACGAATGGGGTATGAACCTTTTTCTGGTTAACGAATGTCATGGGGATGCATCTCATGAAGTTGTCTGACTGCTTGTGGATTGGACCATGAAGCTAAAGATTTAAAGAATGCTCCCGCCCCCGAGAAAACTATCTTCAGAGTAATATCTCAGTTTACATAGAAATTTTATTATGTGTAGCACACATTATTCTTAGTGCCCAGTTATACCAAATTTTATGTGAGGTATATCAAAAATGCAGTGAAATAGAATAGAATTTTTACTAGAAAGAAAAAGGGATAAAACACTAACTTGATATGACTTTTCAAGGGATTTTTTATCCTCTTTTACAGTATTTTCTATTTCTTCTGAATGTCCGTTTTGAAGAGTTTGATTTGCTTGGCAAATAACTCCATTACTTATTGATATCTCTTCATCAACATTATTAACTAGATTAGGACTTCCCGATGAAATCGATGAAGACTCATACATTCGACCAATTTCGTGTAATTTTTTCTTTGTTAACTAAATTTTTATAAGTAAAAAAAGATAGATCATATTTGTATGTTTTAAGAAATGGAAGAACGTTTTGTATGTTGACAATCGAAATTAGACCATAAAGCTGAAGTGAACAAAATACCAATACAACTTCAACACTGACTTAGATAGACGGCTATTTCCTTTATGTTTCTCTGACCCTAGAAATTTAGTTTTTTTTTAATCCTACAATTTATTTAGTGCATTAGAAATATACCTTGAACCTAGAAACTATATGCCCTGAAATAACTTTCCTTTATTTGCTATTTAGATTGTAGTAGGGTCGTAAACATCGTTAGGTTAGCACTCTTTCCTTACATTATTAGGTGCGGAACATACTACTGTAAAAATAAAATATAACAAGTGAAATCTCTGAAACCAATTTTCAAATCCCAACACACACTACGGAGATATGCAATCGCAAACAAAAGTTGAACGTAAATAAAACTATTTTTTAATCTTAAAAGCAGATATGATGGATTCAAACTAATAAATAACCCAATCACTTCGTGAGGTGATTGTGAGAATTGGATTTAGAAATTCTGTACTCTAAAAACACTGAACCACTACTAACAGGAAACAAATAGCTTTATACATCGAAATGAAGTTGAAATATCAAACCAGTTATCTAAATGGATTAAATACAAAAAATTATAGGAAAAACAATTTAAAATATTACATAAAAGTTCAACGGCTCATATGGTTGTACATTAAAACAACAAAGAAAATCATAGTTTTAAGATACATAAAAAAATTAGTTCGAGGAGAACAGTGGTAAAACGTTTAAGATCTGAAGGAAGATAAGGTATCAATTTATTTGTACTATAGTGATTGATTTTGAAAGATGACAAGAAATATTTTCACTTACTGAATTCTTTAGCATTCATAAAGGTAGTGATGATACAACATAAAAGGAAACCATCAGATGAAATTAGAACATTCGTAAGCAAAACAAAACATTCAAAGAAAAGGTAAGCTTAACAAAAGCACTCAGTAGTTACCCTTACATTTCCTACTATTCGGCAATGGAACGAACCAATCAAATAAAATGTTTCCTGAACAATCCTAGAACTACCAAGTACACGATATTATATACTGCCCTACAGTAAAAAGACTGTTGAACACTAAGCTTCGTAAATGGTTCTTTGAAAAATAATTCCTTTACGACGACAGTGATCTTATAGGCACAAACGTCTCATAATAAAACAAAAAATGGACGTTTTTATAAGCTGACCATCACTGGTGATTGCCACATTAAATATAACACTCCGAGAATACAAAAGCGATGTCAAGCAAAATCAATGTTACCAATGACAAAATAAATTCCTACATATAAAAGCGGCTAATAAGACCTATTCAGTTAGTTAACAGGTTGAACAGTTCATACTACTTTATCTCATATACTACCCATAACTATGAAAGCAAAGCCTACGAACCTTATTTCTTAACAAAAATAAAGCAATGTGAGCAGTAGAAAAAATCAGTGATTCATTTCTGATAATACTTACGTTTTTTGGAGCTAACTGACAAGCAATCATATGCTTTAGTCGGTATCGTTTTTCTGAGAATGGGCGCGTGCAGTACAAACATTGAAAAACGGACTTGTTAGCCAAATTACTTCGATTTTGAGTTGAGATAAGCTCCTCCTTTGTGGGTTGGTAAGACAAAAGTGATAAATATTATTAATAACTAAGTTTTGAAACAAAATAAAGTACACTTCCTGAAGCTTTTCTCAAAAAAATACCCGACCGTATCTGCCATTAGGGTTTGTCTATTGTAAAGAACCAGTCGAATTATATTTGTTGAAACACTCGTTTGTTTTAGGTCCTACCAAGCCATGTAGGTTTGTTGGGAAGCAGTAAGACAAAAAGCAGCAATTTAAACTACCAGGGTGAAACAGCACTGTTGAGTATATTACGGTGTGACGGCAGTAAGGTGTTTTCTTCAAACAATCAACATGTGGAGCAATGTCCTTTGGGCTACCAGATGATCAAGTTCACTAATAATTCAGTTTCCTTTTAACGTCCCTGAAGAAGTATTCTTCCACGGTGTAGATAACTGGAAAGTGATGACTGCCTACGTATCTCTAACAGAACCTGATATTATATTGTTAGCGATCAAATCCCGTTCCAGCTATCGACCCATCTGTGCCTCTGTCCACGCTTCTGTTGATCGCGGTTCAAATGAAGTAACATATTAATCTTACATGAAACCTCTTGGTCTTAGGAATGCTGAAAGCCGAGGTGTAGTAATCGTACCATATGGCTTTAATGCCCAGGTAGATAGGCTAAACCAAGCTGGAAGATATTTAGATGAGTCTTTTATCTCCAGCTTAGCTAACAGATAGCTGTGGCTATCTGTTGCAAGTATATTCAAACAATCGTTTATTTCTAGCAAGTACCAACTTGACATATATGGAGAGACAATACCGAACAAGGTGATCCCAAAATTTTATTCAACGATGGACTCAAACAGACTATCACCACCAGCCACTGTTGGAGAAGCTTGAGAGAAGACTACTTCTTCTTTCCGATCACATGTTCAAACTTTGATCGTAAGTTATTGTGAGCACACATCCAAATGACTTCTTCCAGATGGAGAAAAGCTACAACAAAAATAGTGCAGCTCAACGATGCAGAAGTTATGTGTATGTATAAGGAACCAGAGAAGCATTTAGTCACTTGTAAAAGTGATGTTTGCCCCGATGGGATTTGACATGAAAACTAAACATCTGTGACATCAGTGAATTAAACTAAAAGGTTCAAAAAGTAAGTGAATTTCGATGGTGTCTACTGAGTTGATATACGATGAGAAATTCAACTCAATAGGCCCCAAACAGAATGGGAAGTAAAGACAACTTAAATGTAGATTGATGGAGTTAATGTAATGATCGTGAGCAGTTGTGGGAGACGAAAGCAAAAGACATGGAAAAGACAAAAAGTAATTGTTAAAACTATACGGTTGTTCAGTAACCAATTGCAGAGACATTTAATGATGGTGAGTCAGTTTTAACACTTAAGCTAAGTGAGCGAGATATGCTGAAGTTGGACGCACAGTACCAGCTAAGGATGACAAACCAATTGATAAGGTGATGAATCTTTATCAACTGAGGTGGTTGGGACATGTATTATGTATTCCCTAATTACCGCCTACCTAAAGGAGCGATGTTTGGCAGTGCAGGATTAGGCTTGAAACTAGGGGTTGGTACAGTCAGGGAGATTTCCGTAACGATTGGTCGTAGACATTGGGTAACAGCTCAGAACTGGTCATTACATATATATATATATATATATATATATATATATATATATATATATATATATATATATATATATATATATATGATCGCTTTGTTGCCGCTTAAACATAGTTTTTTAAATAATCTCGTACATTTCTATTCCATAAATTTATCCATTTTTCTCGAATCATGCCGCTCAAGCTTAAATCTTCTCAGTAACCACTGATACCGTTACTACTTCTATTTATCTGGCATTTATTTTGATTTCATCTTGTGGTGATATGATGCGGTGATTTGAGGCGACCCACATCCGTGCCTGTTTCTACGTTAATGACTGGCCCAAAATCAATACGTAGATTATTTTTACGTACATTTCCTTGTATAAACATGCAGTTTCCCATAAAATAATACGAGGGATAGTACGGTAACTATAAGAACCTCAACATCTCAAAACTACTGCGAAATGGAATAGTGAGTCAAAGCTCTGGATAAGTGACCACCAAAAAGGTTAAAAAACATAAATCACTCCAAATAATAGTTCCAGCAGACTAAAAAGTTGATTTTTTGTCCGCTTTACGTAAATTATGGAAGATAAACGGGTCTGTTTACTTGGTTATTAGGCTAATTTATGCAATGAATGTCAATAAAATGACTTGGATGTTCAAGACACTGTGTATGGAGAGATGCGGAAGTATAATGATAATGATAACAATAATAATAAAAAGAAGGATACAAACTTGTCGAACAAGTACTTGGATGTGAGCTACACTCTAAATGTGGCCTCTAATGATAATATCCGGTTGCACAAATCGAAGTAGGTGGAGAGGGGTTCGGACCTGGGAAGTAGTAGCCATATAACCCACTTGGATCAATAACCCACAAGTATTAAAATACAGGCGACGTTATCTAGAAAGGAATTGTATTTGGCTTCTGAGTTTAACTTATTTTACTCAAACGAAATTCGTGTTTTAACTACTAATCTAATTGGAATCCACAAATGCAGGTAAACAGTTGTATTTGTTCACTAAGTAAATAAACAAAACGCTTCAGAAATCTTAAAAAGGATAGGTTTTCACTAACAAAATTTTCTTCATAATGGTCTAAAATACATAAATATATAATTTAATGTTTTTGAAACATTGTAAATACCTCTGGAAGTTTAGATGATCTTTTCGATCTTAAAGACGGTCGTTGTGTTGCAACATGAGTAATTGCGAATGAATTCTTGGTCAATGAATGATTTTGCTGAAACTCATCACTTCCGCTGAGTTCTCTTAATTTCGATTCATTAGATATATGATTTTCATGATTACAAGCACCACATGGTGAGTGGCATGTTGCCTTTTGAGAATGCATTGAATTCTACAAGTTTAAAAGTCGGAAACAAATTTTTGAAATATATACTAAGCACATGACTTGAAAAATCCCCATACTATAAGGAATTTATACTACGATTAACCAACTCATTTAAGTATGTGAGATCATTTGCTACCTTACTTTTACTAAAATATAACATCCTTTGGCCCCTGGTTATTAAAAACGAATATAGAGATAATTCTGGGTTTTTGTCCAAGTGCATTATCGTTTTTTTGGCAGTAGCATTGTCGGTTAAAATCAGATAATGTACCATGAACAAGGTTTTACAACAAAGAAAAACGTTATTTTATAATAAGACGAAGTTTAGTACAGCGAAAATCGTCATTGTGTTTATCAAAGGAGCTAAATTGTTGGTTTCAAGTCAAGAAAATGAGGCAACTATCACAAGTTAGCTAAAAACAACCAACAAATGAGACGTGAAATAACACATACTTTTTCAAAATATTGACATGGTAATTGTTTCGCGGGAAAGGTGTTTAGTGCTTTCTTGTCATTCACTGAAAATTGTTCCCTGTATTTTTGAGTGAAGCACGATCAGACATTTGTATAGTGTATAGATTACGACAGTTAGATATAAAACAGAAATTGTAATATAAACCATAGATTATTAAGGCAACCTTTCTAGAATATTCACTTATTTGCGTAGTACGAAGTCTGTAAGTTATCAAATTAATAAGATATAGGATAAAAATTATAGTGAAGAGGTAGTATGTAACTTGACAGAATTTTAATTAGAATTTTTACGTTCCTTAGAGAAGAGGAAAATTAATCCAAATGGGGTAATTTAACCAACTAAAATTAAATTTTCTATCCCTACCAGCTACTAGAAATGCACATCCAGAAACACTATCATAGTAAAGTTTAAAAGCCCCTTACTGGGTTTTAATAAAAAAAAATCTTACACCGGTATCCACAGCAAAATCAGGAGATTGCACACTGTTGCATAAATTTTCCTTTGTAATGCATGTAAAAGTGTCTTTTTTTCTGAGAATTCCAACTGAAGGTGACAATTTTCTCTTTTTACTGTCATGATTGCCAGTGAGAATTTGGTTTTCGTTTCGCCTTTGAGAGTGTATATCTAGCTGGTTTGAAGATACTTCGGAGTAATTGGAAGCAGAGGTAAGAGACAATCTTCGTTTTCTCGTCTCAGCACGGTTTTTAACTGGGATACTTGACAAGGTGAGGTTGAAACTGTTGAAATCAGATGATTCGCCTCCCGATGGAGGGACACTTTTACTGTGATGTTCTTCGGAAGACGAATAACTACCATTAGTAAGTAACTTGACTTGTTCTGTATTAACCCGAAGAGGTGCTAACTTTACATTCCCAATAAAATCGTTTGCTTTTATGGGAGATAAGCAAGGGGATGCACGACTATTACTTTCTTGTCTAGATTTAATTGGAGATCTTGAATCTGTGGTTTTTGCAGCTAACGTTCGAGATAAATCATCAGTTTTTAACGATAGACTTCGAGGCTTTTTAGGTAGATTTATAAAACTGTCCCAGTCTAAAAGCGACCATCTTGCTTTCTGAGAATATTCGCTTGAACTGGGTACATTGGAGTGATTTGAATATGAACCAGTTGAAGTGAACGTTATCTGTCTATCACTTGAACTTTCTTTGGATTCATTAATATTTTTCTGACTTACAACAAAGTCGCATACATCTCCATCGGAGGAATGCTTTTTGCCAATCTTTTGGGAATCATACTCCTTGACTGTTTTGTTCGAGGTCGAATTTAAATGAGGCAGCCCACTTGAATCTGAAACATAACATGTGAGCATTATAAATATCTGGTTAACATTCGTAGACAGGAAAGCAAACTTTATTTATTGGGTATGGAATAGGTTGTTAATTACCGAAGAAGACGTTTTATTTGATTTAGTTAACCTGGTAATCAGATATAACTTTTACATGATGAAACCACAATTATTTCGTGTAGACTGACAATACTACTTTGTGATTGAAGAGGAAATCTGGTGCAAACTAACAGATCAGGGGTTACAAAATGATTGGAACTCCAAAGTAATTTTGAGCTCTGTCTTCAAGTAACAGGTCGTCGGTTCGAACCCTACTCCAACTATATTAGTGTGGGCAGTCGGAAAGTAACAACTTTATGAAGGGATGCCTAAAGCTGAATAAACAAATCTGCTCTTAAAAATGAGGACTCCAACAAGCCGAAATTTAAGTTATGGTGTAAAGAAACTGTTGCTGTGCAATAACCACCAACACAACTAAATAAATTCAATAACATGCAAGTAAGCTATATCCATAGGAAATTAGTCATGATAAATGTTAAAATTGTAATTCACAAAACCAGGCATAGGATTATAAATATAAGCTTGTCATAAATTGTTTTGGATCCTCACTAAAATAAGCCAAAAATAAGGAATACCGCAAGATATTCATGAATCTAGAATCAAGTATCATTTACGTAAATAAGCTATAAAAAACACCGAAGATAATTATGCTACGTACCTTCAGAGAACTTCATGATGTATTGCCCTAATTAGTTTGTAGATTTTGAAATCTGTTTTTGATCACGTGTATCAAAAGTAGTATTTTCTGGGATACTCCTTCAGATGACAACACTTGAAACAGAACCGACTTTTTCATATTTTTAAAAATACATTTGTGTTTGTGACTTCATTGGGAAGATTATCGGAGCAATTACACTGTATGCAGCAAAATACAGATGACTTTATAAAGAGTTGAAAGCAAAGAGAAAGACAGATTGCCTATTAACAAAAGTAGCAATAAGTTTATTATAGAAAGGAACAGAACACGCACATAAAATCAGTCATTGAATATTCTCAGAAAATCGGACAACAATGTTTTCTATTATAAAGTATCGGAGATAAATAATTAAGTCCCATACTAACCATGATCTTCCTTATTATTCACATCAACTGGTCTTTATCAACCGCATGTTATTTCGGTGTGATGGACAAGCTCGCCAACAGTGATGACCTAAGAGAGTTTTATACGTGAATGCCCGCAATCTTGGAATCTTCAGTAACCGGGACGTCTTGGAGAAAGAGGTATCAGTCAGTTACAACGTAGAACTTCGTACGTACGTACATCAGTTCGAGTTGCCATACCACATTAGCACAGAGATGAAGTTGTCGATTCAAATCCCATAGTGGTAGAAGTAGTAAGAGTATAAGTATTATGTGAAAGAAGGGTTTGAAGATGTTATTGAAGAAGTATAATACGGTGAAATAAATTTGGAAAGAGAAAAAGGATACGGACATGAAGAATTCAGAAGATTAGAATTTGGTAGAACACAAAGAGTGTATACACCTTTGCCATTGCAACCGATTTTGAGCCATGTCATTCAAGGTCTCTAACCATCAATTGCTATCATCTCGCGAATCCCAACCAGGTAGTCTACACCTACCAACACGGCCCAGTCCACTTGTCAGCGACTTCATGGATTTATGCCATGTTTTCGTCTGGCCGCCCCTAGCTTTCTTCCAACCTGCTCCTACACCATAAAGCATTGCACGTCGGGGCAGTCGGTGGTTGGGCATACGTAACACATGTCCCAGCCATCTCAACTGATGAAGTTTCAGTACTTCATCAATCGATTTGCCATCCTTACCTTGTACCCGTTTCCTAACATCTGCATTACTTACCCGGTGGTCCCAGAATATACGAGCAATGCGTCGAAGACACCTATGATCGAAAACTAGTAGAAGTATGTCTACTCATCGTGTGTCACTGAGGTAGTTTATTCGTAATATATGGAGTAATACTATCAGCAAGTATATTGTGTATTTTACGAAGACAAACTTTTAAGATCACAGGTTATTAAGTCGTTTACATGGGTATATACTTGCAGTCAGTGTTAGCTATTCCACCCAACTCGGTCAACCGAAGGTTCAATGCTAGAAAAAATTGAGGCGAAATATAATGCACTTCAAGTAAACAAGGCGAAAATTTTTCCAAAAGAAATCCATCAACAAGTTTCATAGGTTACTCAACTCGAACGAAGAATGATAGGGTCTTTAATACTAAAGTGGGTACTCGTGAATGAAACCAACGACGTTTAGTCATAATATTCACACTCTGCTCATATGAAATAATTGGCTAACAGTTTCTTTTGTAGTTTAAATCCGTTGGATCGATCTATAATCAAACAACTATTCGAATGTATGGACGGCATAAATAATGGTAATTAAATGCATGACATTTTTGGTCGATATCAACTGTGCTATTAGCGGCAAAAGATAGTCTTGCATTCTGACCAGACAAATTGGTTCAAAAACAACGAATGGGTGATTGGATAAGTGACCAGTGGAAACGAATACCAGCTGTCCTGAAACAGGTGAAAATGCATCATACTTTCCAACTGATACTCCAGATGTAGTCAGGAACATGCAGTCCCAACACCCCTATCCATACTTCATGGTCCTGGTACCGCGCTCAACTGTAGGCTAAAGAATAATTTCACGACAATATCATGTATACCAAACGATTTGTATGATTTAGTTGTGTCATCCACGATAGAGGTCACCAGGTAAATCAAATACAGTAGGGCCTATTCTTCTCATAAAATCTCAAACTGGTTAGACTACTTATCGTAAAACACGTCCCATGCGCCCTTAAAAATTTTGAAGGAAGGTCAAGATCTAATTAGTACTCCAAACAAAGTATAATGCGATTGATAGAGACCAGTGGCTCACGCAAGAACCCTGGCCAACACTTTCTCTATGTGGCTCCCAGATTCACTTAGTGTAGTGAAGCGATAGCTTTATTGAATGGATCAATCAAAAGCAGTTATGCACAGACACAATTGATAGGTCCGACAATTAAACACTTTACTCCCCTCATTTGCCAGTCAAGCCTTAAGAATAACAATTTTGTCAGCACCGCAGGAATATCAGTGGAATAAAACTAAGTGAAGTGCTCTTTAACGCCCCAGGATCAGTTTCAGAAGTACATATACTGAAGCATTATAACGTCTCATGGTAAACGGTTATCCAAAAATTCACACTATAGTTAACAGTACGTAGAATTAAGAATGGGTTACGATTAAGTTTGAATAGACATTATATTTTGTCCAGGTCACAAACCTCTAGTTATGTTCTCGAAACCAACCGACACAGTAAAGACAAGGCCAAACTTCGCAAAACCACCTTTACCGCGCACAACTACAAATTGAAATGGGACCACTAAAATAGGTTCAAATAAATCCAATTCGTAACTCATAGATTTTACAAACTAATATGCATCATTTTATCAAGTATCTTTCATTGCTTGGTACTAAATTATTTTCCTGGGTCTCATTCTCGGTCCTTAAAGGTCATTCGCAGTTATGTCGAGCCAGTGAAATAACACGGCCCTAGCCAAATCATCTAGGAGTCAGGTCACTGAATATCAAATAGTTTATTAAACCTTTTCAACGTCAGGGACAATCAACACGCACCAGTTAATTACATGTCTTGTACTAGCTCGTGCGACAGTGGTCACACTGCTTTTTGGACCTTTTCATACCTGCACATCTCTGTATTAATGTTATATTCGTTCTACACAACCATCAAAGTAGCCATACGACGAAAGGATAAACCTTGTTACGTATAAACAGCGGCGTGTGACATCGACATAAGCTGGATGGTTACACCATACCCGTCCAACTCGAGTAGGCCCCAGTCAACCACACAGGTCACCTACGTTGGTAATCTATAGTTGCCGAATTTGCACTTATAAGAGGATAATGTTCCAAAAGACATCGCTAAATATAAAGGCTTTTACCTTCCTGTCACGTCAACGGAACCTTTGTTCGACTTCGACTGTAATAACTTCAGTTAAAGTCATATCATTTTATTACGTTCAGCGCTCTAATTATATATTTTGTTACTACCGCTTTGGTGATTCAGCCACAACAGAGTCTAACAACACTGGTACTAAATTCTCATTACCTAGTTCATCCATATTCACCAGTACTCTGTTGAAATTTCGGTGCTCTATCACGGTTTTGGGTTGTCAGGTCTATACAATGGTCGGTTTCGCTCACCAGTATAGTCAATTCCATTTATATATGTGGCAGTAAAAAATCACCAACGTAGACAATTCAGTAATTCCTCGAAGTTGATACTGACCTCACTGGTTTTACTGGGCACACTAAGGCTGAAGGCTTTCGGCAAAGCATCCCACCAGCTCATTTTTGGGTGTGCCGTGCTACGTATCACACACTTCTCGACATATATGTTACCTTCCAAGGTTGTCTTCAAAGTCCTTCATTGCCATCTACTGGGCCGACTGTGTTTGGGATCCTCGATAATGAAGGTGTTAGTGACAAAGGCGTCATCACTACCTGAATGCCCACGACACCCTGAGTGGTGAGCCTGGTGTAACCTGGTACACGATAAACTGTGAGTCTATCACCTGTCGTAACATTATATACATACTTTTTACATATGTCGACATTAATTTTCTATCCTCGGACCTTTTTCACATATTTTGTTCTTTAAGCGTCGAGACACACACCCGAACTTCTTGGGATTGGGACGTGTACGCCCCTACCTTGCGATTCATATTATTCTGACCTGATATTATGGAACCCAGGTTCTGCTAAACAAATGCTAGCCTACATGGGAATAGAGTGACAGACCAGGTCGTCGGAATGGCGAAGCCGTGCAACTCAAACCGAAACATTACACCTAATATGTGTGTGTTGTGATGCTCCTGAACTTTACTACACTTTGAAAGAGGGAGACCCCATTGCGATCCCATCTCTTTGTCTATATATTTCATTGTTGAAACTGAACTGGACGTTAAAGGTACAACGTAACAATAATTCTTTCAAGTGTTCAGTTGGCAAACCTAGATCTATGTCGTTAGAGCCAATATACTCACATATATAACATAACGTTTCCATTAAATGTACACTAGTAAACGAAGAATTAACGTCAAGCGAGAACATGTCTTTTCCGGAGGTATTAACATCCTTAATACGATCAATAAATTGAAAAGCATCATGTACATTGGCCGTAGCCAGCGCTCGCTTTCAACTCGGATACGAGAATATATCCCAGTTTGGCTCTACAAGGGTGAAAGGAAAGGAGTTAGGAGTTCTATACTTGAACACCTAATCGACTGTAATCATTCTACGTATCCACAGTTTGATTTTAAGGTTGTTTATGTGATTCTTTCAAATCTACCTAGATTTCTTCGTAACCAACTTCTAAAAATAGCCGAAGCTCTTACCATTCATAAGCTTAAACCTTAACTATGCGTACAAAAGAAGTATCACTTATCGTTATCGTAACCGTAGCCTTAATATTATAATTTATAACTGCATTTCCCTTAGCTTGTGTCGTATATTCTCATTATTTTAGCCATGAATACTCATCATATCACCTTATTTATTTGTACACCTCTATGACCTTTAATTACCTTTAATTATTGTAACGAAGACATTTCATTCATTTTAATCATTTTATTATATCCACTAAATCTATTTTTATTACTCGTATTACGTAATCTGGTATTGCAATCTTTCTATTACGTCTTCTTGGTCATTGATGTTCACATTTCCTCACGGAATCAGTACTTTGACGAAACATTTTCATACATATACGATTGTATTCTTGATAATAAATTCGTTTAAAAGAGATCGCTTCGCTGGATTTCGTGTTTTTAATACTAAATTACCTGTTTTCGGAGCATCATATTCTGCTTGTAGACTATCCCCAGTCACTATTAGGCAAATAATTGACCCGTACTATCAACGAATATTCGGTAAGTACTCCAAACTGTAACAAACGCGACCAAAATTACCGTGTGTAACCAACAGTGTAAAACGCGACAACAAGACTACAGGAACACCTGTACTTCCGAAAACACGCCGACTGGCTAGGGGTGGCGAAAATCAAATCCGGCCAGGTGATAATAATAATAATGATAGACTTGAGAATTATTTGGCCATCGAACAGCTCATAGACATCTTTTTTGGATATTGTCCCTAAAAAGAACAACAACGATTTGCATCCAACTGGTGATTGTTAGCGAACGATGAAGAAAATCACTCTCTATCGTTACCCGTCGCTGCTGTAAGATACATTCCACGCCCATACTTTTTAGTGCTTAAAGTGGAAAATCGATGGTCTCAAGTTAAGAGCAAGGGTATCTGCTTCGTGTGACTAAAGCAAGGGCATAAGGCTAACGAATGTAGATTAAGGAAGCGCTGTACCGTCGACAGATGTACGAAGAAACATCACCTACTGTTGTACAATGATTCGACAGTCAGCAGCTCAGAGGAAAAACCTGGTGTGGAAAACTGTTGTGAATTTACTAAGTCCATAGATGGTCATGTGTGTTTAGTAATGATCTTCGTGCGGTCGAGATCGTAGAATGCTGAAAGTGTAGGCTGTGCACTCTTGGATAATGGCTCTGATGTAACATTGATCAGGTCAGGGTGTTTGAGATCACTCGGGCTGAAGAAGGATCAGGCGTCAATGTTAGTTCAAACCGTAGGCTGTAACAGAACAACAAGGGTCACAAAAGCGCCTTTTGAAATATATCCTTTGGATCAATCCCAGCATGTTACGATCGAAGGAGCTCTGGTTGCGTCGCATATAACAGGGAGTAAGCCGACGAAGTCAGTAATGAGCATCGTGGTCAAGTGGCTGCATTTAGGTGATGTGCCCTTAGATATAATAGATTCTGGGGAAGTCCTATCGCTGATTAGTTGTGATGTTCCGGAAGCCCATTGGGTGCTTGACCAACGGTTGGGTGGGAGGAAAAGTCCCTACGCCATGAAAACGTTGCTCGGGTGGACTGTGTTTGGATATGCATCAGCTCCGGACCCAAGAAAAAGAGACGTTAATAACACCAATATGGTACAGAAGTTAAGAGTTCAAGTACGTAAGTCTTATGATGAGAAGTTTGTCGGTGTTCATTCGAGTCATGAATCAGTACCAGCAGGAGATAATGCGGATACACAGATTGTGAAAATGAACACGTGCTCCAAAAATGGTCATTTTGTAGTCCCGATACCGCGGAAAAAGATTCCGAATATGAGAAACGCAAACCGTGAAGTAGCAGACAGTAGACTGCAGAGTTTGCAGCGTAGTTTGTTGAAGGATAACAACCTACAAACCAGATATATCAAAGGTATTGAGAGAAATTTCATTACGGGATATGCGAAGAAGGTCCCTGAAATACAATTGAGATCAGGTTATCGCTCTTGTCATGTATTGTAGAACCCCAAAAATCCAGATAAACAGAGGGCGGTTTTTCATTGTAAAGCCAAGTTTACAAGTCTCCCTATATGATATGATTTATCAAGGACCCTACATCACGACCGAGCTAGATTCCAAGCATATGAGAGTTGGAATGAATGACACGAAGATGAAAGCTAACAAACGAGGTAAAGAGAATCCTAATTTACAGATAGAGACAAAAATTCTTGAAATGAAACTTAGTAAGTATAAACAAGGTCATGATGCTTACCAGACTCTCCTTAGTGACCACCATATTTTAGAGAAACGGTTCCAAGAAACGAAACGAGACCTTGAGGCCGAGAAACTACTTCAAACTAAGTTGGAAAACAAAATCCTCAGTCTTAAATAGCAGTTAGATTTCCAGTCTCGATTGTTTGACGAATGTGAAAAGTTAGTTGAATACGGTTTTACAATTGAAAAAGCAATCGAAGAATGCAAACTAGCTGAATACGAAAGTCGACTATCAGAGGAGCTCAGGTCGATTCGAGACCAAAGCGCTTCTAAATTCGAAGGGTATAAAATACAGATTTAAAGAATCTTTGAGAACAAACGTGGACGATTGAAGTCATCAGCTAACTTTGTTAGTGAAGATGCCAGTGACCGGTGTTTTAGGCTGTTACTAGCTTGAAAACGTGCTAACGAAATTTCCCACGATTTATCCAACAAAAGTGCAGAGCTGGGATTGCTTCAACGAAGAGTAGACCACTTTGGATCTTCTGTAGCCAAGGAGACATAGTAATTGTGACTTCGGACATTTCGACCCGTGGAAAGTGGCCTTTAGGAGTAGCTGAAGGTTGTAAAACAGACAACAACGGAAAGATTAGGTCGGTAACCGTTCGGACGAATAACAGATTACTGAGTAGGGATATACGTAGGGTTTCAATTAGTCACTTGTATAAACATAGGCAGGTCGGGTATGTGTACTGTTGTAAGTCCTA